GGAGTTGGAGCATCATCTCAATACACCAAGGTTCGATCCCTGGTCAGGGCACATACAGGAATCAATAAATGGATGTATGAATGGGTGAAACAAGATGATGTTTCTCTCTCTCTCCCCTCATCCCTCCCTTCCTCTCTCTCTCTCTCTGCAATCAAATTTTTTTTTTAATAAAAAAAGAAAAGTAATACTTGACTATTCCAGCCTGGTCATTATTTCAGATCAATTTTAGAATCATTTTGACAAGTTCTCCCAAAAAACTCACAGCATTTTGACTGTAAATGAACTATAAACATGAATTAATTCAGAAGGATTTACATACATTATATATGTGTGTGTATGTGTATATGTGTGTGTGTATATTTACATAGTAAATGCAATATTCACTCTTTCTATTATGACCATATAATTGTGATCTATAAAACCACACAAAGTGAAATATCTAAAAGAGTTAATATAATTCTAATCAGGCAGCAAAGTGATTAGCAACAAAACAGGTTGGTGGTACAAAAGACCATCACGCAGTAAGATGTTGCAATTCCTCTAAAAGAAACTGTCAAAGCCCCCAGAATGTTGTGATGTACTAGGTTGTAAAAATAAATTTCAGCCTAATCCTGGGTTCAATTCCAGTCAAGGGCATGTACCTCGGTTGCAGTTCAGTCCCCAACCCTGGTCAGGGTCGTGTGGAAGGCAATGGTTGATGGGTCTCTCTCACATCGATGTTTCTCTCTCTCTCTCTCTCTCTCTCTCTCTCTCTCTCCTGCTCCTTCCTTTCCACTCTATCTGAAGGTAAATGGAAAAATATCCTCGAGTGAAGATTTAAAATAAATTTCTGCTGAAGGTTGAAGTTTTAATAGTTCCCCCACTGATAAGATCAAGGCAGGTCTCACTGTAAGAAGAGAATTTGTGCTTTGGCCAGTGTGGCTCAGGGATTAGAGTGTAGTCCCCGTGCACCAAAGGGTGGTGGGTTCAACTGCCGGTATAGGGCACATACTTGGGTTGCACATTTGATCCCAGTAAGTGCAAGTGTGGGAGGCAACCAATCAATGTGTCTCTCTCATATCAATGTTTCTCTCTCTCTCCCCCCTCCCTTCCATTCTCTCTAAAAATCAATGGAAAAAATATCTTTGGGCCTGGCTGGTGTGGCTCAGTGGTTGAGCGTTGACCCATGCACCAAGAGGTCGCCGGTTAGATTCCTGGTCAGAGCACAAATTCTGGTTGTGGGCCAAATCCCCAGTGGGGGGGCATGCAGGAGGTGGCCAATTGTGTTTTTATCTCTCCCTCTCTCTCTAAAGTCAATAAAAGCTCTGGCCGGTTTGGCTCAGCAGTTAGAGCGTCGGCCTGCGGTCCTGAGAGACCCGGGTTCGGTTCCCGCTAAGGGCATGTACCTCGGTTGCAGTTTGTCCCCAGCCTTGGTCGGTTGTGTGGGTGGCAGCCACTCGATGTGTTCCTTTCACATCGATGTCTCTCTCTCTCTCTCTCTCTCTCTCTCTGTTCCTCTCTCTCCCTCCCACTCTACCTGAACAAAAAGTGGAAAAATGTCCTCGGGTGAGGATACAAAAAAATAAAAAATAAAGTCAATACAAAATTTTTTAAATTCTTCCATGAGAATTAACAAAAAAAAAATAAGTAAAAATGTAACCTTATCCTGACCCAAATTTTAGACATTGTAATTTCAGTCCACCTAGATGGTAAACCTGCTTCTCTTAGTTGTTTAAGGGACTTTGCAGGCTTGAGAAGTTATAGATATAGTGCAAGAAAATAAAGTAAATCAAATATATAGCATATTAACACAGATTTTGCATTTTTATAATCATGATAACTGCTATTGCTTGTTACTAAGTCATTTGAAACATTTAAAAGAATCAAACATTAGACCTGACCAGTGTGGCTCAGTGGTTAAACATTTACCCAGGCACCAAGAGGTCACTAGTTCGATTCTTGGTCAGGGCACATGCTCAGGTTTTGGGCCTGATCCCCATGGGGGGGATGCAGGAGGCAGCCAGTCGATGTTCTCATCAATATTTCTCTCTCTCTCTCTCCCTTCCTCTCTAAAATAAATAAAATAAATTTTTTAAAAAATCAAACATTAATGAATAACATGAGACTTACATCTACACGTTTATTTGACTTACAAGACTTAAATCCAAGCATATAAAACTTTAAATGCAGTTTAAAACATTTAAGTGCATTGAACTTTGTAAAAAGAGGGAATTTAATCTTTTAAAAGGGTGCCTTAATTGAAACTTTGTAAAGTATTTTCTTTTATATAAACATTCTTAAATCTGTAAATAAAACCAGATTTATCAGTACAACATACAGGCTTAATAAAAGCTAAGTATTTAAATATAGGCATACCTCGGAAATATTTCGGGTTCGGTTCCTGACTACCACAGTAAAGCGAGCCGTAATCCTTTTGCTGGTGGAGGTTGTTGCCTTCAATTTGTAAAAAACGCAACATCTGTGAAGGGCAATAAAGTGAAGCACAATAAAACAAGGCATGCCTGTACTCACCATTAACTGGTTAAACCTTAATCTAAGTAAAAGCACAATATTCTACCAGAAGAAAAAAATCCCTCTTAAAAACCCTCAATTGATGTTATCCAAGAAATGATAGCCTCCTTTTGTTATCTCAGATTATTCTCAAGAATTATGTATTTTTTGCTATACAGTCGTCCCTAGTTTATCTCGGTTAATCCGTTCCAGACTCTAGCGATTGCACCTGGTGTTGAAGGGTTCCTGGAGTGCTCAAATACCTAAGCCTACAGCCCATACGTACAATAATTTTAACTTTAACTGTAATATGGGGGTATATAATTGACTCAGACAACTGAGCGCGCGCTCTATCATTTTCACTGTCTCCATCATTTTTTTTTTTTTTTTCCATTTTTTGTACAGATAGAGTGGGAGGGAGAGAGAGGAAGGGAGAGAGTGAGAAACATCGACGTGAAGGGACACATCGAGTGGCTGCCACCCGCACGACCCAACCAGGGCCGGGGACAAACTGCAACCGAAGTACGTGCCCTTAGCGGGAACCGAACCCGGGTCTCTCCGGACCGCAGGCTGACGCTCTAACCGCAGAGCCAAACTGGCCAGGGCTCCATCAATTTTTTAATGAATATTTTGAAAAAACCACAATAGAGTGAAGCCGTGAAAGTCGAAGTACAAAGAGGCGAGGAACATCTGTACAGCCTTTCAATCATTATATTTTCAAACTGGTTGTTGGTGAAACAGAAAAATTGAATTTTGTGTACTGATTTTGTAGTCAGTCTCTTCATGTTTTCCCCCTTCATTTCCAAATAGTTCCTGTCATTCACAGATGAGAATTTTGTCTCTTCTTTCCAAAAGATTAAGTTTATTTTTGTTTCATGTCTTACTGCATTGGCTAGAACTTCCAAGATAATACTAGACAATATATTCTTTGCCATGTTTATGACTCTAACAGGAATGCCTCTAGGCCCAGTGTAACATTAATTTAAAATTCATATTTCTTATCAAGTCATTAAAATATCTTTCCATTCCTCAAAAATTAAGTTTTAAAATTAAAAACGTGTTGAATTTCATGAAATTATTTCCTGAAATCATAAATATGCTTTAAAAAGTATCAGTTTGTCTTTAAAACAAAACAGTAAATGACAGTTCCTGTAACTGACAGTACTTTTGGGAAATTGAACTCCAACGAAAGACCAGGTTGTGTACAAGTCAGTTCGCTAGCACACACCGCCCCCACCCCCCACCCCCGCTTACACCAGTCTCCTTATAAAATAACTGCCTGCGGCAGACGTGTGTGGACCCGCCATCTTCTCAAGCAGGCGGCAACCCAAGAAAAGTAAGGTTCTAAGTTAAGTCAACCCTTGACTTAGAACCTTTGGAGTCTGCAACTGGGAATGGGACCTTTTGAAAATTTTTATTTTCTATCTGCAATTTGACGTTTGGGCTGTCGCTGTGCTGAACTGTTCCTAGTTCCCATTCAACGGCTTAAGTTTTCACGTATTGAAACTGCGACTGGCATCTGCCTTCCTGTTGTCACAACAAGCTGCTCCTAACTTCTCCAAAAGTGTCAAACTACAACTCAGCGTACGTGACTGCCCGGTCCCGACAAAGACACGCACCTTTGTCCCCGGCGCGACGCAGGATAAGGACCCACGGGCCGCATTCGTCACCCCGCGACCGTCCTCATGCCGGCCCGGGAGCCCGGGTTGCGGCGCTGCTAGCGGCCGGCCCCCGAGCCATGCCTCCCGGCGGGCAACCGACCTGCGCCGCGGCCCATGGCCGGGTCGCCGAGCGCCCGCGGGAGCCTCGCCGGCCGTGCCGCCTACCGGCCCAGGAGGAAGTGAGAGACGCCGGCTCCAAGTCGAACAACTCGGGACGTCGGGGCGGGCTGCACGGGTGCCCTGGGAGAACTTGCGGCGAGGACACGGGCTCGGAGTCGGACCCGCTCCCCGAACGCAGCCGTTAGAAAGCGCTCTCCGAAGAACCCGGCCGCCCCGCAGACCCGGCCACGTAGAGCCCGTCGAGCGCGGGGCCCCGGGCGCGAGCGGAGGCTGGCTTCCAGGCCGCGCCGAGGTCCGTCAGGGCAGCGGCCGGCTCGGCGATGCAGCCGGCTCCGGGGCCCGCGAGGGACTAACGGCCGTAACGGAAACGCTGAGGTGGAGGGGCCAGAGGCCAGGGTCCGGGGGCGGGGCGGGTCTCACGGCCGACTCCCTCCCGCGCTCGATCGGCAGCTCAGTAGTCGCCGTCGCCGCCGCCGCCGCCGCCTCAGACCGCGGGTGCTTCGTTGTCACGAGCCAGAGGGAGGGGAAGGAGCCGGGAGTCTCGAAGCTCCGGCGCGCGGAGACAGCGGCGCCCTGTCACGTGCCTCTCTCCCAGCCAATAAGCCCCGGCGGGCGCGGTGACGTCAGAGCAGCGGCTTGGCCGTTGACAGCCACCCCCGTCACGTGGCGCGGCGCACTCCAATGGGCGGTGCTAGGGCTACCTAAGGTTCCCGGCGACCCGTGCGTCGGTGGTGGTTGGGTGGTAAGATGGCGGCTGTGAGTCTGCGGCTCGGCGATTTGGTGTGGTGAGTCCGGGCGGCCGGGGCCAAGCGAGGTGCGCCGGAGAGCTGCTCCCCTGGGCGCGGAGTTTGCGGCCAGCCCGAGAGCTGCCTTTCTGTGCGCTCCAGGCCGCAGAGAGGGCGAGATGAGGTGCCGGTGCTGGGAACGACGCCGGGCGGAAGGGGCAGCCTGGCCCCGGGGGACTGAGTCCGAGGGTGGCTGTGGTGGGCCCCACTCTGAGCCGCGAGGCCGCCGGGGAGAGAGCTACGCTCCAGACCGGACGCCGGCGGCTACTGTGAAGGGCGTCCCCCGCGTCGGTGGCGGACGCCGGTTCCTCTGGGTCTTGTTGAGGTTCCCGAGAAAGCGGGAGAGCCGGGGAGCCCACGGGACCATCTCGCCCGGGCACGCACGTTAAAACCCGCGTCGCGATGGAACCGACCTGTGCAGGCGGCTCAGCCGGGGGTGTCGAAACTGGACTGATGGTGGTGCCCCGTGAAGAAATGAAGGGGACACTTCTCCTTAGGGCTTGGCAGTGACCAGTGCCGCCTTGTGTGCCTTTCGTGGTCTGCTTCTGTGTACCAGACAACCGCCCGAACCAAGACTGACTGTCGCCGCCTCCCTTGAGCTGCGTAGCTTGTTTCTCGACCCAGAGGAAGGCTTCCATTAGCATTTGGCAAAGCTGGCTGCTCTCGCGGTGAATTAAACCAGACTGTGTAAGGGGAAGTCTGTGTTTACAGAGCAAACTGTCCCCTCCACCCCCATCACGGGGAGGCTCTAGATAAGTGATTCTTGGTGGTTTCGTTATATCCCTTGTTAACAGAAGAATGCACGTACCTTATGCACATATGTATACAATTTTGCATTCCATATCTGAGGGGTTTGGGCTTGTTGGGTCTATCTATGGAAGCCAGATTAAGAAGTCCTGTTTGCCAGCCTTTGTTCTGGCACTTGAGGGTGCAAGGGGAGATTTAGGAAAATAAATGGCATATTGAGTGGGTTGAAGGAGGTGGACAGGCATTTCCAAGGACAAATACTGACTCTCTGTGTTTCCTCTAGGGGGAAACTCGGCCGGTATCCTCCGTGGCCGGGAAAGGTGAGTGTCTTGCCACTGAACTGAAAAGGAAGACCTTTGAAGTTGGGTTTAAAGAGGTGAAGAATGTCAGATGCATTCCCCTCAATTTGTAGCATTAAATTAAACTGCGCCTTTTTAAATAACTCTCACAATTATTTTTCTCTAATATCAGTTTAGAAAGACAATATAATATAAACCAGATTCATTTAATCTGCAGTAATTGCTTCTTGAATCAGAGATGGTTTTGGTAGAGTCTTTTAACCCTGGAAATCAATTCTAATTTGAATTTAGCTTTATACTTAAATCTAACTAAAGGAGAAGAAAATAAATTCTCCAGGAAGAGAGGAATCTAAATGTAGGTTAGTGAAAAGTCAAAGTATTTTTGTCCCAACTCAGTTTAAATCTTTCCACATTACCATATGTGCTGCTCCAGTGCATCTTTGCAGAAGTTGGCATTTCAAATTTTTAATGAGGCGATCTATCATAGCTTTCCAAATGTTCTGTTTACATATTCTTTCTAGTAGCCCAAGAAATGTCTTTAGACTGTCCCCTTGCAGCATGGCATTTTCAGTGCTTCAGTTGTCTTTCATTGTCACTATTACCTGTCTCAACTCTTCCTGCCTGGAAGTATTTTTTCAAGTGTTCCTTACAATTAATTCCTCAGTGATGACAGGATCACTTTGGGGGTGGGGGGATGATTTTGGGCTTAGTTTTCATTGCTTTTAAAACAGGACCGTTTTGGTCAAAGGGAAATTATATTTACTGAACACTGTGCTACATGTTAGATATGGGTAACTTGCATAGAAAAATGCCAAGTCTACACATATACACGTCTACACAAACCCTGGGTTTTTATTAAGACATTCCTTCATTTTTTTTCTTACCAACTTTGAGCAGTGGAAAAAACTTCTTTCACCTTTTATCCCCCCAGATTGTTAATCCACCCAAGGATTTGAAGAAACCGCGTGGAAAGAAATGCTTCTTTGTGAAGTTTTTTGGAACAGAGGATCAGTGAGTAGTGCTCACCAGGAGTTTGACTTTTCCTTTTTTTTATTTGTTGCCCTGGGTCTTTGAGGATATTCTAGGGACCCTAGTTCAGTCTAACTATAGTCTGTAAGGATGGCATATCATTTTGGCCTCATACCTAAATAAAAGGTGCTATTCTTATCTTGCAGAAATTGTCCTGGGCTAATAACAATGTCAGTCCGGTGAGAACTAGGGCTCACCATCTTCTAAATATAATCACATTGAGATTTTGCACATCTCCTTACCCAATTCCACAGGAAGTTCCTCTTATAAAGCCCACATTTGGGCTTACCTTAATAAAAGTAATTATTTAACCTGTTTTCTAAGACAAAATGACTCCCTCTAACATTGTGACAGTAATGCTTTTTAATCAGACCTGTCCTAGAGTTTAAATCAGACCCATTGATTTGAAATTCTTTGATAGGCCATATAAGAAATCATAGTCGCCCTGGCCAGTTTGGCTCAGCAGTTAGAGCTTCGGCCTGCGGACCAGAGTCCCAGGTTCGGTTCTTGCTAAGGGCACATACCTTGGTTGCAGTTTGTCCCCACCCTGGTTGGGGTCGTGTGAGTGGCAACCACTCGATGTGTCTCTTTCACATTGCTGTTTCTCTCTCTCCTCCAGCCCCTCTCTCTCGCTCTATCTAAAGATAAATGCAAAAAAAAAAAAATCACAGTAAGGGGAAGAAGGTATATTTGCTTGAGTGATTTGTTAAGCTTTCTCATCACTACATCAAGTTGATTACCCAGCTCTGGCTAGATGGTTTGATTTCTTTAAGTAGTTATATTTCTGTCTATAATTCTTAAAGAAAAATGTAATTTTGGATTAGGAAATTGTGATTTTTCTGATAATTTAATACTAATGGTTAAAGTACACATTCCTAGAAAGTAATATATAATAATATCCCATAGGAAAATCTCTATAAAAGTGTTGTTCATTTGCTCAGGAGTTTATGTGTCCGAGTGCTTACTCATCCTAGTTTAGCATTTGCCTGGCATCATGCAGATATACTGATATACTTAGTCCTAGTTCTGTGTTACAAACCAACTTAACAGCCTTTGGATGGCAGTATTGCAAAGGGGTCACTGCCCTGGAGCTGTGAGAGCCAGAGACATTCTGGAAGAGAGAATATTTTGGTATGCATTGGATTTCACAAGAGAGGTTGTCCTAATGCATAAAACAAGTGCTGATTGTACAACCACACTTCAAATTGCTTGACACCAAAGAGAACTTCCCAAGTAAGCAAATGTTATGATGCCTATCTTTCAGGAACTCAGGTGACAAAGACATAAACATTTAAGATGGGATTAAGTGCAGAATGAGTGATTTGGGTGATTATTAAAGGGCTCTAGAATATACAGAGGGATCAGTGGAGAACAGCCAGGTCAAAGGCTGATGTAAGAGAGAGAATTTGAATCAAACTCTGGGGATGGATAGAATTTGTATATGCAGGAACAGTAAGGGTATTCCAGGCAGTGGGGATACTATAAATATCTGGGCTTCGAGTTGGATGTGTGGGCAGAAAGAGGCTCCCCGCCTAGGGTAAAGAACTTGTGCTTGGGAATAACAGAAGCAATATGGTTGGCCTGTGTACTTCGTTTAGCTAACCAAATATGAAGGAAAAATAAGAACTCATAGAAAATGGGGATTTAATCAGATTACAGCAAGCCTAAAAGTCACTGTGTTTTTATGATAGTTTTTTTTTTAAGTTCTGGAAGGTTAGAAAAATAAACTGTTCCGTGTGTAAGCAATACTACAGATAAGACACAGAAAATTGGAGTTGAGTGAATTACCATGCCCAACCAGGCAACCAGGTGAAGCCAGTGAAAAGGATGCACTGAATGTAAAATTAACCTAATGATGTCAGTAGTGGTGGTGATACGATTTCTTCTAACGTTTTTTGAGGGGATTCATAAGCAAGTGGGCATGGGAAACTGCTAGATTTATATCGTAAAGCTTTTTAAACTTTCTTGATAGAGTTCCACATAAAAAGCTATTTAAAAGTTAAATCCCACAGGACTAACATGTTATCTTTCTGTGCTAGGCAGTTGACTCTGTGAAAGGAAACAAAGGGTAGGATCTACAGCAGTTCTCTGAAGGGAGGAGGGCTCTTAGTGATCAGTGTTAAAGCAAATTTTATTTAGTACTTTTATATTATCTGAGGGTGAAATCTCCAGATTGTTGGGTAACAATGAATTACTTTGGGGGGAAAGCTCTAAGTTTGTTACTAGCCTAACATGCATTCATATACCAATTTTATCTACTCTGATTTGGGCAAGCTCTTTCACCTTTCTAGGACCCTGTGTCCTTATCCACATGTGGGAATAATACTCCCTACCCAACCTTCTAGTTACAAAGGAGTAGCGTCACATTGGTAGCGTGGTTTGGTATACAGCAGGTGTTCAACAAACATCAGGTTAGAGTATAAATCTTTTATAAGAAAAAAAGTTGGTAAGAAGCAGGTGGCTTTCAGTAGGGAAAATGTGAGAGACAAAGACTCCCATGAGAAAGAGAATCTGTGTTTGAAAAGAAAGGCACCTGAAAGTTGGAGATTCTTAAGGACATCAGCAAGTCTGCTCATTTGACCAAAAAGGCTTTGAACACAATCCGTTGTCCCACCTTTTTTATTTTTTCTAATTTTTACATCTTTACACCTTTATATAAAAACTATACTCCAGCCCTGGCCGGTTTGGCTCAGCGGTTAGAGCGTCCGCCTGCGGGCCGGAGAAGCCTGGGTTCGGTTCCCGCTAAGGGCATGTACCTCGGTTGCAGTTTGTCCCCGGCCCTGGTTGGTGTGCGGGTGGCAGCTACTCGATGTGTCCCTTTCACGTCGATGTTTCCCTCTCTCTCTCTTCCTCTCTCTCCCTCCCACTCTGTCTGTACAAAAAATGGAAAAATGTCCTCGGATGAGGATTAAAAAAAAAAAAAACTATACTCCAGGAGTACTGTGTACAGTCCAGTCCGTGCTCCCAAAGGGATCTGATGGAGGAACTTGTCAAGATGGGGAAAGGAGACCAAATCAGAAGAAAGAGTAGGACTCTTTAATGTGAAAAAGCAAAGATTGAAAACAGCAGAATCCAAATTGATGAAATGATAAATGGCCTTAAGGAGGTAAACACTGACTTGTTCATAAACCCTCAGATGTTTCGACAGGAAGCACCATGAGTAGAGTAACTCTCTACTGTGACTTTTTAGGACATGTATGTGTAAGGAGTACAATATGAAACAAGTGTTTAAGAGGTGGTTTAGACAGGAAATGCAAATGGACTTTTTAGGGATGAGAACTACTTTGAAGGGCAAAGCCATAAGTGGCTATAGAAGTTGGACTCTACCTCACCTTTAATACTAAATGTCAGGGAGAAGGTCATATGTTACCAGCACAATCTGGAGTGGAGGCTGCTCTGGTTACTGGGCACTGACCACAGTGGACAGGATCTTACTCAGTGGGGCTGTTCCTGCACTCCTGTGGAATATAGGATTTAGTCACAGGTATTCAGTTTCAAAACTGACATACTACTTATGGAGAAAATATATAGAGATAGGATTTTTAGCCCTGGTCAGTTTGGCTCAGCAGTCAGCCTGCAGACCAGTGAGTCATGGGTTCAGTTCCAGTCAAGGGCACGTACCTTGGTTGTGGTTCGTCCCCAGCCCTGGTCGGGTCGTGTGGGAGGCAAGCATTCGATGTTGCTCTATCACATCGATGTTTCTCTCTGTCTCTCCCTCCCTCCCACTCTATCTGATGATAGATGGAAAAGTATCCTTGGGTGAGGAATAAAAAAAAGATAGGATTTTATATATTAACAAGAACCTTTATTAAAGAGAGAAAAGAGTAGCTCTTTAAGATGAACAATGATTTCAGTCTCTCAGAAACCTGATTTTTCTCTTTCCTTTCCTCTGCCAAAACATCTAACCAGCCTCCTTTGTGAAGTGAAGGACTTAGTAAGATGGCTGGATTCGACTATCTGAGCTGGATGGCCACAGCTGGAATTGCCCACAGTTGTTTTGTATTTCATGGAAATACAACTTTATCATAACTTTGCCAACTCCTCCAGGTGACCATAACCAAAAATTAAATCTCAGGTGTATGAGGGCTGCCTATCAGAGTAGAAACTGAGCTCAGAATTTAAAAGTTTGGTTAGTGACTATGGATGACAGAATGAAAGGAGTTCATTTAGTTAGTAGGTGCTCAAAATCATAGCAACAAACCAGTTCAGAGAATACCTTGGGCAAACAAAAGTAGATGTAGAAACAGAGGAAGGAGATTTGTGGATGGATTTTAAGTCATAAGATGTCAGCCCTGAGGTACATTTACATCAAGCTAGATAGGAGGTAGGACAAATGATGTGAAATGTCTGAGTGAATACTCAACATTTCTAGAAAAATCGGTGGCTCATAGCATAATAGATTGGAACCAACTGAGCATCCCTTTTTTCTTTCACCTGGCAACTGATTGACCCACTTTTCCCACATCTAACACCGTGTAATAGTTGGAAAACTGAACTAAGTGGATAGTGAGGGCCACTGCTATGGATATTTAGCCTGAGCCAGCAGTGTCCTTCTGCCAGGGCTGGACAATAGCTGTCCCAGTGAATGCCGAGTAAATGATTCTTGCCCAGAGCCTGCAGCAGCTTCCGTCCTATAGGTGGCTGCTACATTGGTAACGACAGCATAGCTTGAACGCCTCATCCAACATTTGGGAATGTTTTCAAGGTTTGAGAACAAAATCCATATCTTATCTGTCAATCTTTGTTGATGTCTCTATGATAATCATTGCTTGAAATTAACTGAGAGCCCAGCCAGTGTGGCTCAGTGGTTGAGCATCATCCCATTCACCAAGAGGTCGCCAGTTCGATTCCCGGTCAGGGCACATGTCCAGGTTGTGGGTCTGATCCCCAGTGGGGGGCATGCAGGAGGTGGCCAATCGATATTCTCTCTCATCAATGTTTCTAACTCTCCCTTCTTCTCTCTTTAACATCAATAAGAAAAAAAAATTTTTTAATGTGTTTAGAAAAAGAAAACGGAGAAATTCTCAATTATTTTTTGTGTGGTTTCTTGGTTTTGTTTTTTGAGTTGTGGTTTTTGGGTGCCATGATTTCTGAATGGCTTGGACTTGAACCTCTAACACCTCAGTAATACTTAGCTTTTTTCAGTGGTTTGGGGGTGGGGGAGCTTAGAAATTATTTACTATGTTCTGCTCACAATTCCAGATGGAAAAGCGAACCCACATCTTCTGACCCTGTCGTGTCCTCACCTTTGGACTGTGCTTGCAAGTGTTCTCTCTCTCTCTAGCCCAGGTCATTGTGTCTGTGCGAAGTCTGAGACACAGATGTGAAGGTGTTTGAGATTGTTCATAGACTGGCATCTTTAATATGATAGCTACATGATATGATTTTAATTTAAGGGGAGAGCACATCAGAATTATGGAAGTTTTTTCAAATGTAATTTTTTGTTGTTTTTAATCCTCATCAAAGGATATGCTTTTTATTGACTTTAGAGAGTGAGAAACATTAACTTGTTTCATTCTGTACGTGCCCTGACTGAGAATCATACCTACAACCTGGGTATGTGCCCTGACCAGGAATCAAACCTGTGACCTTTCGGGTGCACAGGACAACACTCCAACCAACTGAGCCACATCAGCCAGGGCAAATGTGTGATGTTTTTCAATTCATTTTGAGTGGAGTGTGTAATCTGAAGGTGGCTAAGTGGAATGTTTATATTCACAAGGAAAAGGCCTTGTAGGAGGTGTATCAATACCAGGGTAAGTTAGCTGCTCTTGACCATATGACTGTTGCAGATAAACCAGCATCCAAGCAGTTACTACTACCCACCTGAGCAAACCTTACAAACAAGGAAGTACCAGTGATACCTCGGTTCTCGAACATAATTCGTTCCAGGAGGACGGTCGAAAACCAAATTGTTCGAGAACCGAAGCAATGAAACCCAATAGGAAATAATGGAAACTGGATTAATTCGTTCCAAGCCCCAGAAAATGCCTATTTACTGGCCTAATTTGTATATAATATGTAGAAAAACATAAGTCTCAACAAGAAATAAAAGTGTACAGTATGTCTAAGGGTTAAATTCAGGGTGACTCTCCACAAGCGTGACTCTCTCCACAAAGCGTGACTCTCTCTCTGCACTCACACTGATGACGCAAGCAAGGCGCGCTGGGCCGAATGAACGCCATTCGGCTCAACTCGGCTCATCTCGGAAGTTCGAGTTCCAAATATTTGTTCGGATTCCAAGACAAAAGTTTCTCGAATCTCCTGGTCGAATACCGATTTGGTCGAAAGTCAAGGCGTTCGAGAACCGAGGTATCACTGTAATGGGAAAAATCCTCTGGACAGTCAGAATAGCCTTTGTTCTACAGCAGAGGTCTTTATTGATTTAATGGTTTTTTTGTTGTTGTTTTTTTTAAAGATAATACATGTTTGCCCTGTCCTGTTTGACTCAGCAGTTAGAGCGTCGGCCCGCAGACCAGAGAGTCGCGGGTTCGATTTCGGTCAAGGGTACGTACCTTGATTGGGGTTTGGTCCCTGGCCCTGGTTGCGGTCATGCGGGAGGCAATGTGTCTCTCTCACATCAATGTTACTTTCCCCTCCAAACCCCCCCTTCCCGTCTGAAGATAAATGGAAAAATATCCTTGGGTGAGGATTTAAAAAAAAACATGTTTATAGTTTACCCCAAAAAAACTCAAGCTCTAAATGGTGAAAGGGTTCCATTCATCTCTGTCCCTCAGCCACTCAGTTCCCTGCTCAAGTCATCAGTGTTTCTTATGGTATGGTCCTCTAGAGATAGTGTGTGTATAATCAAGAAGTTACATGTTCCTTTTTCCTCATTTTACACAAGTGGTAGCACACTACACACACTGCTCTGCATCTTGCTTTTTTCCATTAGCCAGCTATCTTAAGGGACCTTCCATTTCATACTTTGTAACTGGTTGTTAGCTACTTTGTTTTTAGGAGTTTACCTCTACAAACAGTATGTAGTACATAAAAGCAAAGGCACATGCTTCAGATACAACTTGACCAAGCTTGATTTTTCTGACTTCCCAGTATACAGCAAGTTGGTTGAAAAAAAGGTCCAGTTCCATCTAGGCATTGGGAGGATGACTTAAGGGAAATCACAAGTTACAGCTTATATTAAGGAGAGAAACAGCAGTCACTAAAAATATACACGAACAACAGCAACAACCACAAAAAACCACTAAAGCCTTACAACATTTAACCCAAAATCACCCCAAATATGCCTAGAAGGCATCATTTACCCCATGATTATTTATTGAGCACTAGTTGCATGCCAGGCCTGCCTGATGAGTCTCAGTGGATAGGAGAATGGTGCATTATTGAAGCTCCTGCTGAAAAACATACCCTCTTTAAGGAAACAGAGAGGGTTTTACAATACTGTAGCCTTTAGAGAAAAAATGCTATTCAGACAGCCAAAAGGATTTCAGTTCGGTTTGCTTTCGAGAAGTAATTTTCCTGGGGCTCTGGAGAGCTGGCTTTTTATTGACCGTTTTTCTGATGTGACAGGGTGCTTATCTAACAACAGGTTGGTTTTTTTGTTGTTGTTGTTTTGGGGTTTTTTTGGTACGTGCCCCTAGTGGGAACCGAACCCGGGACTTTCTGGTCTGCAGGCCAATTGGGACTCTCTGGTCCACATGCCGATGCTCTAACCACTGAGCCAAACCGGCCAGGGCCAGGTTGATTTCTTAAGTAGATTAACATTTCCTGCATTTATCCTTCTGAAGTCATATTTATACTGTCAGTTCATTTAGCAAACCATTTTCACTTTTCTAAGATGATCATAGAGGATAATTTCATTTTACTATCTCAAATGCAAGTTGAATGGAAATTGACTGTACTGTCCTGGCAGAAATCAGTAAAATGCTTCAATGAAAACATAGGCATGGATTTATTGGTGCTTCCTCCACAAATACCCTTACCCTTCCACTTACTTTCGATCGGAGGTTAATCGGGGGTAGGGGTAGGAATTCAAATTCTTAAGAGTGTGTTGTCCCATCTCAAGGGCTTCATCAAAACCACCCCATTGGTCTTGTACTGGAACTTGTGTGGGTCTCAGCTTCCGACCTGAAGTTCAGAAAAGGAAGAGGCCTGTATTGAGGGCTGTGGCTGTTAAAGCTTCATTACTGATACTTGTGTCATATTCAAGCCGCCAGTTAGTATGACAGCTTAACTTGCTTCTCAGGGTGTGTCTGTCTTTGTATCTGATTGCTCTGATGGTCTGTACTTCGAAACACTATATATGCAAGGAGAGGCAAGAGGATGGTGTACTTGCCAGACAATGTGGGGGTCGAAATTTAATTCCAGTTTGCCTCCCTATAGATTGGACCCATTAGCCCTATTGTGTCAAATTTCAAACTTTAAAATGAATTGGTCACAAGAAAGGTACCTGCTTACTCCATCCACTGGATGCTCTATGCAGTGAGACCAGTGTCTGAGTCCCCATTCATCATCCATTCTGTCTAGTTTTTTTTACCCAGAGGTAACATATCTAGTCCTGGTTTGCTGTCACATTTGCAGGCTGATGGTCCCAGGGCTGTTGTGTTTGTACGGACCCATCATCACAACCATTAGCATAACGCTCAAAGCTGTTGATAGCACTATTTTTATGTACAGAGGTTAGCACTTCTACTATTAGTGAATATTCTTTAGCTTCTTTTAAAAGAAAGAACCCTAAGTTAGTGTGAAACACAGTTTCTATATCCTTAACCTGACCCACTTTTTCTGAAGGTTGGTTATACTATGAAACCTATGAGTGTTACAGGGTAAAACATATAAATTAACAGTTACCTTGCTAAGCCTATAAAGTTTTCTCCTTTATACTGGGAAACTGAACATCATTTAGGGAAACTACAGAAGGTCAGCTGGGATAGTTTTGTTCAGATAAGTATCATTGGCCGGATATTCCAGAATGGACAAATGAGGGCTTTTTTCACTTTTATGTGTTATGCACTAATGGTAGGGATTAAAAATTAAATATCAGAAGAGTATGTTTTTCTACTTTTTAAATCGCGAGCAGAATCTTGTTTTTAAAGGCCTCCATTTGTGACTGCTGCCCTCATTCCAAGCCATGTATCACATGTTTTGTATGGTCTAGTAGCCATGGATACAATCACTTATAAACAAATATAGGCTCTACAGCTGCAAATATGTATAAGAGCAGAAGATTTTAGATGTTGCCTTTCTTTAGCCCTTAAAGCATCCCTGATTCTGAGTTCATTGACAGGTCATCTGGTTTAAGTTGTTGCTAGGTGGTGATGCTTCTAGATGCCCTGATTTTCTGGGATCCATTTGTGGCCATCTGTATTGTGTGGTGAGAATGGGAGAGCATCTTCGGGTTTCGTCTGCCCTGAGAAAGTGGCATGGTATGTGTGGTTCAGTATGAAAGGCAGGTGAATAGGAGTAGAAATAACAGATGACACAGTGATTTCTTTTGGAAGACATTCTGATTTTTCTTGTTCTGCTTGGCTTTGTCCAAGAAAACTTCTAGACTCATAGGTTTTGGGTGGTCAATAACATGTTCTGAAAAAGTGGCAGGCCTGTTTCAAAGTCCAATTAAAGGAAATGGATATCTGCATTACTTTCTGCTAGGGTGAGGTTTTTGATACTTTCTGGCATAGGCAGTATGGATCATACCCTTTCTATGTGTGTTTTCTGCTAGTGCCTGGATCAAAGTGGAACAGCTAAAGCCATACCATGCTCATAAGGAGGAAATGATAAAGATTAACAAGGGAAAACGATTCCAGCAAGCTGTGGATGCTGTGGAAGAGTTCCTCAGGAGAGCCAAAGGGAAAGACCAGGTGAGAGACTCCGTGATTCTTGATTTATGCCCATGCCAGACCAGTTAATTTTACATAGTAACTAGCAGATTAAATGTCATCCCAACTGGCCTTGGCTGGCTTGCTCAGTGGTTAGAGCATCAGCCCGGAACAAGGGGTTGAAGCTTCAATTCCTGGTCAAGGACATATACCTGGGTTACAGGTTCAATCCCTGGCCCCTCTCAGGGTTGTGCAAGAGGCAACCAATTGATGTGTTTCTCACATTAATGTTTCACTCTCTCTTTTTCTTCCCTTCCACTCTATCTAAAAATTAGCGGGAAAATATCCTCAGGTGAGGAGTAAACAAACAAAAAAAAATAAATGTCACCCAAACTTGAAACTCTTTTCTTAAGAAATGCCAATAGAGAGAGAGCTGCTTCAATTCTGAGGTATCAGCATTTTGGTAATCAACTTGAAACTCCATGCATGCAATTGACCTTTCTGGAATAGATTGTTGCTCTGTGGAAAGTCACCTGGACCCAGGAGAAGTATCTGAGTACAACAGAGGTCGTTTCTCCTTTTATAGCTCAGAGATTAGGAGCACAGGCTCTGGGATGTATCCACTCCCCGCATGTAAATCCCACTTCTTAGCTTTGGGACCATAGGCAAATGACATTTTTTTTTTTTCCTTTTTTCTTTTTTTAATTTGCTTCCCCAAATGAAATTGGAGATGACAGCAGACCTGTTTCACAGGATTGTTGTACAGATAATGCATGTAAAGTGCTTATCACAGGCCATGGCTGGTGTAAATGGTGGTGGTCATGGCAGCGGCTATTGTGGTGATTATCATTATCATTATTATTAAACTTTCAGACATCATCCCACAATTCTGCTGATGACAAGAATCGGCGTAATTCCAGTGAGGAGAGAAGTAGGCCCAACTCAGGTGATGAGAAGCGCAAACTTAGCCTGTCTGAAGGGAAGGTGAAGAAGAGCATGGGAGAAGGAAAGAAGAGGGTGTCTTCAGGCTCTTCAGAGAGAGGCTCCAAGTCCCCTCTGAAAAGAGCTCAAGAGCAGAGTCCCCGGAAGCGGGGTCGGCCCCCAAAGGATGAGAAGGTTTGTTTTATCTCTGCATCTTCTGGGATTAGTGACTTCCTTTTGTATGTGGCAGAGTTGAGCTCTACAGTATGCTTCAGTTCACTGAGTGAACGTAGAGTCCTGTGCTAAGTGCTGTTCTAAAAAATCCTACAGACCAGGGGAGGGACACAGTCTAGATGCACAGGTGTGAAATAAGAACACAAGACAGCAAAAGATCATGCATTCAACTAAATGCTCAAGTCAGGAGAATGGTCCACCTGAGCATCATGCTAGGGCTGCCACTGGAAAGGGCTTAGCAAGAAAGAATGGAAGGTATTCCAGAGGTGGAGGGCACAACTCAAGAGGGGCTTGAGGTAAGTGTGGATAGTCTCAGCACAGGGAGAGGACAGGAAGGAGAGCAGAGAGATAAAAGTAGTGTGTCACTGGATTGTGGAGAACATTAGGTCCACCTAAGCGTTGTTGTATTGTCATAAAGTCAGTAGTGGGCCATGCAGTTGTTTGAGCTGGGTGTGGAGGTGGCAGTGTGCTCCAAGCTGTGCGTTAGTAATCATGGAGAGCAGGGAGGAAAGGCTCAAAGCCAACCAGAAGGCTAAACCCAGTTGTGTATTCATAAGGAGTTGTCCTAAGAGGGTGGTAGCAAATGTTGAAAGAAACTGTGAGAGGCACCTCAGAGAAAGAGTTTATAGGATTTGGCAACTGGTTACATAGGGGATGAATAGATAAAGAGAAAGATTTCAAGTTTGTGCCTGGAGAAATGGTAATGCATTTCTTAAGAGCCAAGGAGTCTGGGGAGGAACTAGCTTATGAGACAAGAGGACCAGTTCTGTTCTGAGTATGATGCATTTAGGATGATCAGCCAGGGAGGCTTGGAGTAGCAGGACAGAAATGTAGACATGGGAAGCAAGTATCTAGGAAGAATGTTGGATCCATGGAACTGGATGGGGTTTGTTTTTGGAAAGTAAAGGAGGGGGAAGAGTGAAGGGCAGGAGTCGGCTTTACAGTGAGTTGGCTTGTAGTTCAGGGTGGGAAGAAGTAGGAAAAGCCAGCAAAATGAAATAAAGCGGAAATAATATACCTCTCTCCTTGTAAAGATTTTTGTCAAGTCTTAAATGCCAAGGGAGGAGAATTTGAGATGAAGTGGGTAGTCTAACACAGTGAAATTGTGAGAGCAGGATCAAGGGGGTAGAAGCCAGATGGCTGGCAGAAACAGTTGGGTGATGAGGCTGTGATGAAATGCTAGACATCAGATCGAGACTTACAAGTGCAGACACCAGCAAGACCAGACAGGTAATGGAAGTGAGTGGAGCCAACTGATAGAAGAAGAAATGGCTCAGCAGGAGGTTCCATGGCCCCGCCTTGCCTCCGTGCTTAGAGCATTAAGTAAGGCAGTGGCTGGTGGTCTGGGGATGTCATCCTCTGCCTATGGAGTTCAGCCAACTTGCCAGATCATCTGGATTGTCTCAAGAGAAGCTGGAAATAGAGATTTTTATGTGAAATGTTCCCATTTTAAATGTTAGTAGCTAACTCAACTTTAAAACACTCCAAAGGAACATCTCTGGGCTAGATTCAGCCTGTGGGCTGCCACTTTGTGACCTCTCTGTTAGAGAAGGTCCTTCATGCTGTCAAATGACCTAAGACTGAGAGTAGATGAGAGTGATTATAGTAGTGGGGACAGCCGTGGGTGACCATGAGCATAGGAAACTGCCAGCCAAAGGCAGAGACTGTTTAGAAAACTGCTGGCTACAGTGTATGATCTAATTTGATCCAGTTGAATTTATTTCCAGGGATCCACAGGAATCTGAGCCATCAGTTTTATACTATTCTCCAATTTCACATTGTCTGATGTCTTAAGCTGTGGATCTCAATGCCAACTCCTCTGCTGGCCCTGGAGAGAAATTATTTCTTTTGGGATAAAGGGAAGGTATAAAGGAGAGGTTAGGAGGAGGACCTTGAATTTGAATCATGACTCCGTGTTTTGCTATACCTGTGTGACTTTCACCAACTACCTTTGCCTCGGTTTCCTCATCTGATCATTGGGAATAATAAAAATACCTGCCTCTTAGGTTTGTTTTGAGAATTAAATGAGTAACATGAGCTAAGCACCTAGGACAGTGCCTACAGCGCATTACGCATGTGATAAATGTACCTTTGAATTTTTCGGCAGTGGCTTGTTGTGCAGTGAGAGCATTAGTTTAGTGCAACTCCAAGACAGTTGCCAGGCTTACTGTGAGGGACTCCTCACAAGTTCTCAGTAAAAAGCAATTTAGCCTTTGGTCTGAATTCTTAATTGAGGGGGATGTAACATTTCTACTGCTGTTTTCAAAGTCAGGTCTCCAGCCAGGAGCTCTACCTGATATTGATCTTTAGGGTTATTTTTCTACAAGGTCTCCATGCTTGGCCTGGCCTCTAATGAAGTAATTGTCAGGAAAGGAAAGAGCTTGGCTGGTGGTATTTGGGATACACGGTGCTTTCAGTTTTGAGCGTTGATCTTAATTTAAGCACCTTCAGGAATGTAGGGAATATGTGTTTGGGTTTAGAATTCTGGTGCATCTTAGAATCTGATATATCCTTTGGTCTAAAAAGAGTATGTGGGTTGCTATAGTAATTGTCATTTGGCTGGCGAGCTCCTCTCTGAAACAGAGAGCAGTAGCCTAGGCTGATAACTGAGCAGAGCCCCAGATGATGGTTGTTCTGGGCCATAATCTCCTGTCCTGTGAGGATTAATGGAAAAGGCTGACCTTGATGGTAGAAGTGTCAATTACATGCAAGCAGGCAGAGGCTGGGTTTGTGTCTAGACATTCGTCCCAAGTCCTGAGCTGAGAACAACTCTGGGCACAAAGCACCCTAACAGAATAGAAGTGTGGCTCTCCTAAAATCCCAGACTAGTGCAGAGAGCACCGATTTGGGAGTCAAGGCCTTCCGTTAGTGCTAGATGGAGAGCTGTGTTCTCTGCTTTACTCTCAGTCTGTCATTTCAGTCTTAGGGAAGTCACTAAAGCTGTACTCTAGTCACAGGTGACCATTCACATTTAAATTAAATACAATTTAAAATTCAGTTTCTCAGTCACAGTAGCCACATATCAGGCGCTTCATGGTGGACTTGTGACTACTGACTGTAGTATTAGTGCACATACAGAGCATGTCCATCATGGCAGAAAATTCTCTTTGACAGTACTGCACTAGGCCTCTTTTCCCCAAACCTCTTTATTTAGCAAGTATCTAGAGATAAAGCATTGTGAAAGATAGGGCCCTATCGTGTTCATTTCTTCAATAAATATTGAACAACAACAGTGTGCCAGGAATGGTTCTGGCGTGGGGTATAAAGTAAACAAAATTGGTGAAGTTCTTACTTTCGTAGAAATTACTTATAACAGATCCTGAGACCAAATTCCCTGGGTTTAAATTTCATCTACCATACTCATTATTAGCTCTGTGACTTTAGGCAAGGCTACGTAAGTTCTCTGTGTCTCAGTTTTCTCCTCTGTAAAATGATAATAGTTCTATTTCATGAGTTTGTGACAATTAGGTGAGGATATACATGTAAAATAGCACACGAGTGTCTGGCACATGGTAAGCCCTGTAAAAGTAATTGCTGTTATAGTCGTCATCAGCATCACGTTCCAATGGAGGAAGATAGAGAGAGGTCAGGGGAAGCAATCCGATAAGGTGACATTTTAGTGGAGACCTAAAGTGAATATATGAACCAAGTTGGAAGAGCGTTCCCAGCGGTGCAAAGGCACTGAGGTATTTGCATATTTGGTGTTTTTGGGGAATGGGGGTAGAGGGCCAAGAGAGTGCTTGTGGACTGGAGAGTTATGAGAAGAGAGAAAATAACAACATTCGGTTGTAAACTAGCACGGAGTGAGGGTTGCAGCACATGTAGCGCCCTGTAGGCCACAATAACAAAGCCTCTAGCTTGACCATGTGAGGCAGGAAGCCAGTTTTAGAGAAGTGGCAGGCTTCACTCTGGCTGCTGTGTACAGACTAGACTGTAGGGGTCCAGAGGAGTAGCAGAGACCTTTGGATGTTAGTAGTGGGGGTGTTCAAAAGAAGGTGTTGCAGATTCCCATTTGTAAAGCTATAATCATTGCCAATGGATTCGAGGAGAGAGGAGAATAGAATCGAGGATTCTAAGGATCTTGGCCTGGTAGTATGGAGTTGTGTTTTCTGAAATTGGGAAGACTGTAGAAAGAACTGTTTGGGCAGGGAACTCAAGAGTTCTGTTTCATATGTCAAGATTCCCATTAGATATTAAAGTAGAAATGTCGGGGAGGCCACTGTAGTTGGAAGATAGCAGATGGAGTAAGGGAGTAGGAGGTAAAGTCAGCGGCGCAGGTAAAGTCAGTGGTGGAGGGGTGGAAGCAGACCAATTGTAAAGCTAGAACAGTGCCTCTTTGCCCAGGACAGGTGAGAGCCAGGCCCTTGATAAAGAGGAGCGGCCTCAGTCTATTGGGTCTTCTCCTTGCATCAATCTGGGGAGAGAACGGGGCTCTTGGCTTCATACTACCCTGAGTTCTAATTCTGGCTTTGTTACTTAGTAGCTTAAAGCCCTGGCCAGTTTGGCTCAGCGGTTAGAGCGTCGGCCTGCGGTCCGGAGAGACCCGGGTTCGGTTCCCGCTAAGGGCACGTACTTCGTTTGCAGTTTGTCCCCGGCCCTGGTTGGTCGTGCGGGTGGCAGCCACTCGATGTGTCCCTTCACGTCGATGTTTCTCTCTCTCTCCCTTCCTCTCTCTCCCTCCCACTCTATCTGTACAAAAAATGGAAAAATATCCTCGGGCGAGGATTAAAAAAAAAAAAAAATGTTGGGCACATTTCCTCATAAGCACCATGTGACTTTCTTATTTTTTCTTGAGATCTCATGGATTTGTTCTGCAGACAGTAATATTTTCTTCAGGTTTCTTATTTGTCATAAGGAATTTTCTCTCTGACCTGCTGACAACACTGCAGACCATAGTTGGGCTTTCCTCCATCACACACAAGCACATATTTTGTTATTTCAAGAACAGAGAAGAAAGGCTTACTCTATGTTGATAAAAACTTGACCTGTTTATCCCAGTGGATGGTCATCAGAACCATGGCTAAGGACTTGGGCTTGAACTGACACTGAGACCATGGAGCTGGCTAGCGGTTTGGGTGGAATGTGACTAAAGGAAGTAGAGCAATGAAGAGATGCTCCCCAATTTGGGGCAGGAAATTTGCTGTTGAGGTCCCCACAGTGTCTTGACAATATGTCTTTTCCTCTGTAGGATCTCACCATTCCTGAGTCTAGTACCATTAAGGGGATGATGGCCGGACCTATGGCTGCATTTAAATGGCAGCCAACTGTGAGTGAGGTAAGGAGCGCTCCCACAGGCCAGGACAAGGCTAGACTCTTAGCTGGTTTCCTGACCTGACCGCGATGTGCTTTTCCTTTTCCTCCTTTTCATGTGTATGAGCCCCCCTCCTTTTTTTTAAATTACTAAACAGTACAAAGGAGGGTGAGGTCAAGAGTGCGAGTCTCCACCCTCAGGAGTGCTCACTGTTAAGTTTGATGTAATTTATTTCAGCCCCTTTGGTACACCCACTTAGCCATCATTTATTAATTATAACCCATGTGTAGTTGGTATTGTTGGGACTAAGGTTATTTTTCACAAAAGTGGGATCATCCGCAGATTTTTTTTTTCACTTGATGCCTTATAAAAACCTTTTTGGTGTCTGTATATAAAACTTTTGATGTTCAGTAACCTTATATTATTCTATCCTTGGTATAAGTGCACTCTTTCACTGTTATTGGGCCTAACTGTGAAAAGCCCTTGAAAGGCCTGCTGTTGTTGCCACTTTATTAATATCAACCCTCAGTAAGACAGAAACACTCAAGGGTCTAGTATCAGACACGAGGAGGCCAAAACCCTAAAATTGGAAAAAAGCTCTTAAAATTGATTTGGCTTTGTCAGCTGTGTTATCCAACATGACTAATGAAGGCTGGACTTTAAAAACTAGTGTGGCCCTGGCCAGTTTGGCTCAGCGGTTAGAGCATCAGCCTGCGGACCAAAGAGTCACGGGTTCGATTTCAGCAAAGGGTACGTATTTCGGTTGCGGTTCACCTCCGGCCCCAGTTGGGGTCGTGCAGATGGCAGCCAGTGGATGTGGATGTGTCTCTCTCTTATTGATGTTTCTCTCTCTCTCTCCCCCCCGTCTGAATATAAATGTAAAAATATCCTTGGGTGAGGATTAAAAAATACTAGTATGCCACCCTGGCCGGTGTGGCTCAGTGGATAGAACATCAGCCCACACACTGAAGGGTCTCAGGTTTGATTCAAGGACAAGTACCTGGGTCGCAGGTCAGATCCCCAGCCCAGGTGCATGCAGGAGGCAACCAATCAATGTGTCTCTCTCACATCGATGTTTTCTCTCTCTCTTTCTCCCCCTCCTCCCTCTCCCTTTCCTTCCACTCTCTAAAAATCAGTGGAAGAAATATCCTCAAGTAAGCATTAACAAACAAAAATACTAGCATGCCTTTTAAATATTTTCCCACACTGTTATTAGAATAATTTGTATACCAACCTGGCAGAAATATCTACTTGAAGCCAGTTTTTCTTAGCTGGAACAGAGGTTGTTTACAAAAGGCTTAGATCAATGATGGGAAAAGAGTTTCCAGGCAGTTACAAAGTTAGGACCAGCTCCCAGGGGTGTTTCAACCAGAGGAGAGCAGGTACCATCAAGGAAGTGACCTTTGGTGAAAGATGATTTGTTTCATTTCATTATTTTCTGGTTTCAGCCTGTTAAAGATGCAGACCCTCATTTCCATCACTTCCTGCTCAGCCAAACCGAGAAGGTGAGTTGTTCTTTGAAGTTCTTCACCCTTGTTCAGGGGCTGGCCTAAGGGAGAGTGTTGCTCCATTGGAAACTCACCTTACTAGTCTGAAAAGTTAGGCTCTGGCTATACCACTGCCCAGAGCAGCTAGTTACAAGTCACATAGGGGCCCACTTGTGAATCAGGTGTTGTTAAGGTTAACCGTCCCCACACCCCCGCAAAAAAAGCTTTTAAAACTCATCAGCAGTATGCTTGAGACATTTGTGGTTACCTTCAGAGACTGGGGCAGAAAGCACGTCTCATGGACTGTCAGCCACCTGTGAGGTAGCCCATGCTGCTGGGTGGGCAGTCTCCGTAGCCCTCCAGGTTTGGAAGGAAAGTTTCCCGAAGTGACTATAAGGCCATGGGTCAGGCTAAGCTCCTTGATAGGATCTGTTGATAGCATGTGGCTTTGGAGCTGGACAGAGCTGGGTTCCAAGCCTAGTTACTGACCAGTTCTGTAATTCTGGGTGCATAACTTAACGCTTCTTATTCTTAATGTCATCGTCAGCAAAAAGACCTTGCAGAGTTGAGTGGAGAATTGAATGAATTGAATGAGTGGTAATTAAATGTTCTGTGTCATCTGGAACATTCAATAAAATTGAACACCAAATAAGATTTTAGCGTTAACATCCCGTGTTAGGCCTAAATTTTTAGGTAAATTATAATGAAGAATATGTTAAATGTGCAGTTTAATAAGTGGTGTTTTTCCTCCCCTTTATTAGCCAGCTGTCTGTTACCAGGCAATCACAAAGAAGTTGAAAATATGTGAAGAGGTATGTAGGATTCCACACCTCCCTGTTTTTGTCTTCCACTGGGGCCTTGCCGTAGGTAGACTGACCTGATGATTTATGCTTCTTTTTCCTAGGAGACTGGGTCTACCTCCATCCAGGCAGCAGACAGCACAGCCGTGAATGGCAGCATCACACCCACAGACAAAAAGTAGGACCTTTGACAAAAAGACTTCCTGTGGCTCTGGTTCTGCTGGGGGGTTTGGGATGACTGCAAGGGGGCTCTTTAAGGGTTATGCCTCAGTCATTGCTGGAACTGAATGTAAAGGAGGAAAGTTGTAATCCTTACTGACCATGATTTGCCTAGGAGTAGATTGACTTGCAGGAGACAGAAGTTGTCTTTAAATGTATGTTGGGGTTGGCTTTCTAAGTCACTGATGAATCTGTGAGCAGGGAACACTTGGTTCTGTGGTTCTCAGGCTTTCCTGTGCCTCAAAATCACCCAGAAGGCTGCTAGTAAAGCACTGACTATTGGGCTCACTCCTGGGGTTGTTCTCAGTAGGTCTGGGATAGAGCCTGAACATTTGGATTTTGGACAAGTTCCCAGATACGCTGCTACTGCTTCTAATTAGGAGACCATACTTTGAGAACTCTAACTTAGTAGAACTGTGATGAAAACCCTGAATTTGACTGTGGGGGAGGAGAGATGAAAATATTTAGAATAAAGCTCATCTTTCTGCCCTCCCTGGCTCTCCCTGCAGTCACCTTCCAGTCCTCATGCATCTTTCTGCTGTTCTCTGTCCTGCTCAGACAGGTAGGAGAGTCTGGACTATGGTCACCAAACCTTAGATTGCACCCACACTCACCTTTGCCCTTACTCTGACCAGTTGTGTTTTCACAGTTGTGATGATGAAAAAGGTTTTTTGCTGAGAATGAGAATTCTGAGTAAAATAGCAAGTCTGAATTTCCTGTCTGTCTTTCAAAAGGTTATTTCTAATTTTTTGTACTATCGAAATCATTGATTTTACCAGTTATTTTGGGTTACTTCCCTTTGTAGAGTGGAGAAGATTGAGTCATGTTATGTACTAATAAAAAGGGAAATGGATGTCACCCATTCATTTAATGAGGGTTGTGATGGTTTTCATTTAAACAAACAAAGTAGGGCGGGTTGAGTACAGTCTCAGTGCTTTCACCCAAGACCTGTATTGTCCCAATAGTCCAATACTACAAAGGTAACCAGCTGTATTGTTCTTAATTCACTTAGTCCAGATTCTTTGTCTTGTCTTATTCTTCATCTTGTCTCAAGGGCACCATGAAGGACTGTCAGTTGCTGTGTTAAAAATCCAGAAGCTTCATCCCCAGGTCTACTGGGTGTCCTAAAACACTAAGAAATGGAAAAAGAATTAGTCCTCATGATTTAGAATTATAGGGAAAACTTGTACTACCCAGATAGCTGTAAATAACAAAAGATCATATTTTTAACCTTTGGCTTGAAACTTAGTGGACATTTGATGAGGAAGGTGGTAGGTTCCATTTTTTTGTATTTAAGTTTTTTTATTGTTGACACTATTGCAGATGTCCCCCATTACCCCCCACCATTTGCCCACCTCCACCGAGCCCCTGTGCACCCCTCATTTGGCCCTCACCACACTATTGTCTGTGTCCATGGGCTATGAATATATGTTCTTTAGCTAATCCTTCACCTTCCTTTATCCAGTTCTCCCCATCTCCCTCCCATCTGACCTTTGTCAGTGTGTTTAATGTATCCATACCTCTGGTTCTGTTTTGTTTGTCAGTTTATTTTATTCATTAGATTTTACATATTAGTGAGATTATATGGTATTTGTCTTTCTATGACTGACTTATTTCGCTTAGCATAATAATCTCCAGGTCCATCCGTGCTGTCACAAAGGGTAAGAGTTCCTTTTTTTTTTGTAGCCACATGGTACATATTCCATTGTGTACCACAGCCTTTTTGTCCACTCATCTACTTATGGGCACTTGGGCTGTTCCCAGATCTTGAATATTGTAAATAGCGCTGCTATGAACATTCAGGTGCATATATTCTTTCTGATTGGCGTTTTTGAATTCTTAGGATATATACCCAGAAGATGTATTGCTGGGTCAAAATGCAGTTCCATTTTTAATTGTTTGAGGATCCTCCTCGCTGTTTTCCATAGTGATTGCACCAGTCTGTATTCCCATTGACAGTGCACAAGGGAGGGTCTTTTCTCCCCATCCTCACCAACACTTGTTGTTTATTAATTTATTGATGATAGCCATTCTGGCAGGTGTAAGGTGATACCTCATTGTAGTTTTAATTTGCATCTCGTTCATGGTTAGTGACTTTGGGCATCTTTTCATATGTTTGTTGGCCATCTATATGTCCTCTTTGGAGAAGTGTCTATTCAGGTCTTATTGCCCAGTAGGTTCCATTTTTCACATTTGTTTCAAGTAACTTAGAGCAGACAGGGACAAAGAGAGTGTGAGAAGTGCATATTCCAGCAGGGATTAGGGGAAGCTCTTGAGTACAAGAGCCAGTTTGCAGAAGTGGCTGCAAATGTGACTCCTGGAGACCAAAAATACTGAAAGGATAACACAGGTCAAAGGGGAGAAGCTACAGAATGTGTCTAGAGCTGAGAGAAAGCACAAGGTGAAAACTACTACATGATGTAATAAGAAATGAATAAAGAGGCATAGTTCAGCCAAGTCACATGCCAGGAGAGATAATAATGAAGTATAGGAACCAAGAAAAGATACTTGGGCAAGGTAGAATCATCTGTAAAAGTAGTAGTAGCTAATAGACCCCAAATTCTTGGGGTTGCAGAAAGGAGCAGGCTGTAGAAAGTGAAGGTAAGCAGAGCATAAAAAGGATCATAATCGGCCCAGCTGGTGTGGCTCAGTGGTTGAGCATTGACCCATGCCCCAGGAGGTTGCTGGTTCAATTTCCCAATCAGGGCACATGCCCAGGTTGTGGGCCAGATCCCCAGTGGGGGGCATGCAGGAGGTGGCCAATCGATGTTCTCTCTCATCTATGTTTCTATCTCTCTCCCTCTTCCTTCTCTCTCTAAAATCAATAAGAAAAATTACTTTTTAAAAAAAAGGATCATAATGGGCCTGCGTGTAGAAGGGCATGGAGAGCAGAGAAGGGAATGGACTGGCAGACAGCAGCAGTGAGGAGAAGTACAGGAGAAGACAGGTAGAGGAAGAACCTCACGCATTGGGGAAAGGTGGCTCCAAAACTCAGGCTAATAGGAAGAATGCCAAGGTGTAGTGTAGGTTTGAAGCTTAGAGAGGGAAGGGAAGACTGAGACCCTGATTTCTGCAGTTGAGGAAGGTGGCCAGCTCTTGACACATCACTTAAGTTACTTGTCATAAATCTAGATGTGCTTTTAAGAGGCATATGAAGACCTAGAATTCAAAACTCTTGCAAAATCAGACACAAAATATCCACTTTATCACTGTCATGGAATTGTAAGCTCAGACCCTCTATCAAAGTAGCAAGGAAACAATTTGGAATACTTGCCGTAAACCATATGTGTCGTACTTCTTTCTGTGGCAGTCAAGAGTTTAGAAGTTCCCATTCAAATTTAGGGACACTTTATTTTTTCATTGATTTTTAGAGAGAGAGGAAGGTAGAGGGAGAGAGAGATAGAAACATCGATGAGAGAGAACATCAACTGACCGCCTACTGCATGCCACCCACTGAGGACTGGGCCCACAACCTGGGCATGTGCCCTGACCGGGAATCGAATCAGCGACCTCTTGGTGCATGGGTCGATGCTTAACCACTGAGCCATACCGGCCAGGCTAGGGACACTTAAACAATGGCATAAGAAAAGGTACAGTCTGCATGCGCCACATCTGGCTCTGTATGCATGGTCAGGACATCACTGAGCAGTTTTTCTGGTGGTCTGAGGTCTACCCCAGGTTTATGAGGAAGCAGAGTCTGTTCTGCCTTCAGAATACCTTCTTACCCTATCCCTTCCACTCCGCCCGAACTAATCAGTCTCTCTCTTTTTTAGGATAGGATTTTTGGGCCTCGGCCTCATGGGAAGTGGCATCGTCTCCAACTTGTTAAAAATGGGTCACACGGTGACTGTCTGGAACCGGACTGCAGAGAAAGTAAGCATTAATGAGTAGTGCTTATCAGGCAGGGTGGGACAGAGCCTTGACCTGTGGAGTTGGGGTAACTAAGGATGGGAATGTCTTCCTGATGTCTTCACTAAGCATTCTGCACATGGTAGAGTAGGAGAAGCCACCTTCTCATTCAGACATGTAGAGCTGTAGATAAATAAGCTTAGAGAATTAGTGTAAAAACTAAACATTCAGCCCTGGCAAGTTTTGCTCAGTGGTTAGAGTGTTGGCCCACAGACCAATGAGTCGCAAGTTCGATTCCAGTCTAGGGCACATACCTCGGTTGCAGTTCATCCCCAGCAACCGAGGTTGTGTTGTGCGGGAGGCAGCCACTCGATGTGTCCCTTTCACGTCGATGTTTCTCTCTCTCTCTTTCCTCCCTCTTTCCCTCAGCTCTATCTGAACAAAAATGGAAAAATGTCCTTGGGTGAGGATAAAAAAAATAATAAACCTTTAAAAATACCCAGGGGTGCCCTGGCAAGTGTGGCTCAGTTGGTAGGCATTGTCCCATGCACCAAAAGGTTGCTGGTTCAATTCCCAGTAAGGACACATGCTCAGGTTGTGGGCTTGCTCCCCGGTAGGGGGCATATCGATCGATATTGCACTCTCACATCAATGTTTCTCTTTCTTCCTGTCCCTTTCTTTTCCTCTCTCTAAAAATCAATAAAAATATATATTTTTTTGTGGCCAATGTGGCTCAGTGGGTTGAACATCATCCCATGAACTGAAGGTTGCCGGTTCAATTTCTGGTCAGAGCACATACTCAGCTGGCAGGTTTGATCCTGGGTCATGGTGCTTGCTGGAGGCAACCAGTCGATGTTTCTCTCTCTCATTGATGTTACTCTCTTTCTGTAAAATTAATTTAAGTCTGGCTGGTGTGGTGTGACTCAGTGGTTGAGTGTCGACCCGTGCACCAAGAGGTCACCAGTTCGATTCTCGGTCGGGACACATGCCCAGGTTTGGGCCCAATCCCCAGTGCAGAGTATGCAGGAGGCGGCCAGTCAGTGTTCTCGCTTGTTGATGTTTCTATCTCTCTCTCTCCCTCTCATTTTCTCTCCAAAATCAATAAAGGAAAAAAATTTTTTAAGTCAGTTTAAAAAAATCATTTAATGCCCTGACCAGTTTGGCTCAGCAGTTAGAGCATCCGCCTGCGGTCCAGAGAGACCCGGGTTCAGTTCCCACTAAGGGCACGTACCTCGGTTGCAGTTTGTCCCCTGCCCTGGTTGGGCCGTGCGGGAGGCAGCTACTCGAAGTGTCCCTTTCACGTCGATGTTTCTCTCTCTCTGTCTCCTCTCTCTCCCTCCCACTCTATCTGAACAAAAAATGGGAAAATGTCCTTGGGTGAGGATAAAAAAAAAAAAATCATTTATCGGAAAAAAAAACTACCCAAGGTATAAAACAAAATGAAAATTCCTTCCTCCCTGCCATCACCTAAGCTAGATCACGTTAGATTATTGCATCCTTTTTTCCTTGCCCACCGAAATACAAATGTGTATATATTATGAATCCATTGATAAGTAATGCATATAGGTAGATCTGCGCCGTGCTTTTCAGTGGCTATACTGTAGTCAGTCATTTGGATTGTGTTAATAGAGCTGTGCAGTACTGCCTTCTACAGTGATGATGTTCTATATCTGTGCTGTCTAGTGTGGTAGCCACCAGCCACATGTGGCTCTTGAACACTTGAATGAAGACTAGTACAATGGAAGAATTGAATTTTTAATTTTATTTCACTTACATTTAAATAGTCCCATTTGGCTAGTAGCTACCATATTGGAAAGAACAGGTTTAGAAGTTCTTAACCTAAAGTGGCGGCCCACAGCATCAAGGGGTCTGCAATGTCCTGCGTGCCCTGCCTTAAAATTCCAAAGCTGTGAATGTGTACCTTTTGTAATGGCGAGGGGCACTGGCTCCCATCAAATTGTCATCCAAGCAAAGGTGAAGAACTGTAGTCTAGGTACCAGAAAACTAAACACTGTATTTGCCAGGGACAAAAGAAAGACTGAGAAAGGACCAGCTTCTTGAGGAACAAGGTGTGGCCGAGCATGTATTTGTGAAATGACTGGGTGCTTGTCTCCTTATGTGCAGTGGTAAGAGCTGAAATGAAGTGTGATTGCTGAAAGAGTTGGCGAAGCTGATGTATTTGAATTAACAAAAACATTCTAGACAAAGTAAAAAAGTCACTTTGCTGAAACAAAGTTGTTTTCAAGAATAACAAAGAATTGGTTGAAGAGTTGAAGGGGTTTTGGGGAAGAGAGCACTGAAGGCCATGCTAAGGGATTACTTCAGGTGCTGTGCACTGCGGGGACCTAAGAAAGGAGTGAGATCGCAGAGACTCCATCGGCAGGATAGTTTGTGATGCAAGGCTAGGTAGTAACAGGGAGTCTAGAGCTGCACGGTGGCAGAGCATCAGGAGCACCAGAGAGTTTGCTTGTAAGTGTACTCTCCTTTGATAGATTTGCCTGTGGTCTTTCTGTTTTCTTTATTAGAATTCCAAAATGTATAAATAAGGTCATTCTTTCCAGATTACTTTACAGGAAGGCAGTAGAGCAAAGCAGGAGGAACTTGGGTTTGGAATAGGGCAGATCTAAATCCAAGCCACACTCTGCTCCCTGTCCTCTTCAGCGAGATAGTTTACCTCCCTAGGCCTGTCAAAGGATGGCACCAAAAGCCCCTACTTAGTGGGGGTATAAAGGTTAAATGAGATTATGTAAAGTACTCAGCACAGTGCCTGGCACAAATTATGTAGTAAATGTCCTGTTATAAAGCCATTTAATCCTTATGACAATCCCCATGGAATTTTTATAAAAGGATCTTAATAAAAATGAGTCTGTGGTTCTTCTGGAAAAAGGAAACATTTTTAAATTTTCAGAAAATGGAGAGTTAATGAGGATGTCTTCTCCCAAGCAAAGGTGAAAACAGTAATATAAATCCACATACTAAGAGGCCAAGATGCACCCTGGCCAGTTTTGCTCAGCGGTTAGAGCATCGACCTGCGGTCCCAAGAGGCCCGAGTTCGGTTCCCGCTAAGGGCATGTACCTCGGTTGCAGTTTGTCCCCGGCCCTGGTTGGTCGTGCGGGTGGCAGCCACTCGATGTGTCCCTTTCACATCGATGTTTCTCTCTCTCTCTCTCTCTCTCTCTCTCTCTCTTCCTGTCTCTCCCTCCCACTCTACCAGAACAAAAAAGGAAAAATGTCCTCAGATGAGGATAAAAAAAAAAAAAAGAGGCCAAGATGCATGTAGTAAATCTTGCATACAGTGCTATAGTAAAGAGAGACCTACCAGGTAGCCCAGAAAGCCTAAGACTCTCTGATAGAGGTGGCTAACTGTGAATCAGTGACATAGAAGAAGGGTTGTTGGTCAGTAAGTTATGTTCAGAACGACTGTTTGGAAATTTGAGGAAATACTAATCTCACTTCCTACCACATAATAAAATATATTCCAGATAAATTATTAATTTTTTTTAGTGGCAAAACCAGAAAAAAACAAAGAAACTAACTAAATAGCCCTGGCCAATGTGACTCATTTGGTTGGAGCATCATCCCATACACCAAAAGGTTTTGGGCTCGATTCCCTGTCAGGGCATACATGGGAGGCAGCCAGTTGATGTTTCTCTCATTAATGTTTCTCACTCTCTCTCCCTTCCTCTCTAATATCAATAAACACATCCTCGGGTGAAGATTAAAAAAAAGAAAACTAATGTCAACATAGATCTTTCTAAGTCTAGATGTAATCGAAATCACTAAAAAAGATGAATTGTCTTTTTTTTCTTGTTCTCAATTATAGTTTACATATATATATATATATATATATTTTTTTTTTTTAATCTTCACCTGAGGATATTTTTCCATTTATCTTCAGATTGAGTGGGAGGTGTAGGGAGGGAGAGAGAGAGAGAGAGAAAACATCCATATGAAAGAGACACATCAATTGGTTGCCTCCTGCACGACCCCAACCAAGACCAGGGACGAACTGCAACCCAGGTACATGCCCCTGACCAGAAAGAAACCTGTGACTCATTGGTCCACGGGTCGATGCTCTAACTGCTGAGCCAGACTGTCCAGGGCTCAATATTTTTATATTAGTTTTAGATATACAACATAGTGGTTAGACAATCATATATGTTACAAAGTGTTCTGCCCCCAATATTTCCAGTACCTACCTGGCACCATACAAAAAATGAACAGTTTTTAACATTACTCCCCACAACACAAAATAAAATTTAAAGGTTACCAACTAAAAGTGCTTATAGCAAATATGATAGAAAATAGTAATATGTTAACTTTATGAAACATGTAGTTTGATAACTCCTAAGATAAAAAGTAGCTCATGGCCTGGCTGGTGTGGCTTAGTAGATTGAGCATCATCCTGTGGACTGAGAGGTCCAGGTTTGATTCCTAGTCAGGGCACATGTGCAGGTTGTGGGCTCGATCCCTGGTGGAGAGTGTGCAGGAGGCAGCCAATCAATGTTTCTCTCTCACATTGATGTTTCTATCTCTCCCTTCCTCTCTCTGAAAAAGTAAATTAAAACATTTTTTAAAAAGTAGCTCACAGAAGAGGAAACAATTAAAAAAACAAAGGTACTTAAAAGGTTTAGTAATCAGGAGTAATCAAAATATATCACAAAAAGAAATTGCTATTTTTAGCTGGTTAAATCAAGCAGGATAAAACTTTAATGTATTTATGGTGCTTGTTTGTTGTTCTTAAATGATGTACTCAGTGCTGGTGATTTGAAACTTTGATGATGATCATTGTACATTGACTCAGCCCTGTTGGAAAACCATTTGTGTACATTTATTAAGAGCATGAAAATCATTTGGAGCCTGTTTTATTTATTCATAGAGACCAATTCAAAAACATAGAGGAGAAGTATACATGAATATATTTGTTGGAGTCATTTATAATTAAAAGCAGTCCAGATATCAAACTGCAGGGGAGTCATTAGGTAAATCCAGATGTCTCTTGATGGAATACTTTGCAGCCATCCATTGTAAGTGATAATTATGAGAGACTACAATATGGATAAATGAAAGTCTTATAAAATAATTCAAGGTTGGACACAAAATAGTAGGTTCAAATTATTCTGATTGCTTTTTTAAATGCCTTTGGAAAAAGGTAATGCACTAAAATGTTAGTGATGTGTTTTGTCATGAGATGTTCTGGGTGATTTTAATTCTCAGAAAAGAAAATTTAGTGTTTTTAGACCCCCAGAAACATCACAATAAGGAACAGCAGAATCCCAGCCCCAACCCTGCTTCCCTAGCATAGTGCCGATAACTCAGGGTACTGCATGGTTTTGCCATAGCCAGGACAGCCTTTCAGGGCTGCAAACAGGCACGGTTAACATCCTGTCTTCAAACAAGAATACTTCAGCAGACACTTGTTTTGTGCTTGCTATGAAGTAGAACATCAGTCTAGGTACCATGTATGCAAAAACACCAGACAGTCCTTAAGAGGACCCATTTACTTCCCTTAAAAAGTCAGACCGCCAGCTCTGGTGTCCTGAGCTCTCAGCCTCAGCTTCAGTCTCCTGCCTTGGGAGGCCAGCCAGGAGGACTGGGCACCGTGTCTCTGGCCTGGCTGTTGTGTTTGTTGTGCACTGCCTGCAGCTCACGTTGGGATCTGTGACTTTTGCAGTGTGATTTGTTCATCCAGGAGGGGGCCCGCCTAGGAAGAACCCCCGCTGAAGTTGTGTCAACTTGTGACATCACCTTTGCCTGTGTGTCGGATCCAAAGGCGGCCAAGGATGTAAGGATCCCCTCCCTCCCCTCAGCGTCTCAGATTGTGGCCAGGAAAGCTGGCTGGCCTCCTCCCCTTCTCCCCTGCACACGGAGTGAGTGTCTGCATGTGGGGGGTTGAATTTCCCATCTGGGGGCCATCTTCCATTGGGAAGGGTGTTTGCATAAATTGAATACAGACTTCCTTTAAATCAGAACAAAGAATGAAAATGAGTAGGATCCCTGAGGTCTGTGCTGAAATGGTCTGTGGTATATTCTTGTTGAGCTGGAAGCTTTGGGGCTGAGTGTGCTTTTGGTCTGTGTGCCAAGTTCCTATGTTTAACTATCGCTGTATTTGTATGTTTTAAGAGTTCAAGTGCAGTAGTCATCTTGTTAAAGTGGTGACTAGTCTAATCCAGGTAAATCCAAAGAAGCCCCAAAAATTAAGGTTTCATCTTTTAAATGGGAAGTTTTTAATAGAAAGGAACATACTCTTTTTAAAGATAAATGGGAACATATTAAAAATACTTTTCTTTCCCTTGCTTATTTACTTGCTCTTCCCTTTTTAGCCTTAATATATCTTAGCTCCTAATCAGGAAATGAGCCAAAAAAGCAAATGGATTCTGACTTTAAGTCTAAGGGCTCCTGGGTGTTGGCTGGGGGCCTGGGCTATTGCTTCTCCCTTGTGTCCCCACAGCTGGTGCTGGGCCCCAGTGGTGTGCTGCAAGGGATCCGCCCCGGGAAGTGCTACGTGGACATGTCAACAGTGGACGCTGACACAGTCACTGAGCTGGCCCAGGTAGCAGCCCTGTTCGGGCTGGCCCTCCAGCATCCTTTTGATTGGATCCCAAGACCCAGGCTGACCATGCCCAAATGTGGGCAACTTGGTTACTTTGCAGGGGTGGGGAACCTTTTTTCTGCCAAGGGCCATTTGAGGGCCATACAAAATTATCAACTTAAAAATTAGCCTGCTAGCCCTGACCGGTTTTGCTCAGAGGTTAGAGTGTCGGCCTGCGGTTCAGAGAGACCCGGGTTCAGTTCCTGCTAAGGGCACGTACCTCGGTTGCAGTTTGTCCCCAGCCCTAGATCGTGCGGGTGGCAGCCACTCAATGAGTCCCTTTCACGTCGATGTTTCTCTCTCTCTCTCCCTTTCACTCTATCTGAACCAAAAATGGAAAAATGTTCTCGGGTAAGGATTTAAAAAAAAAATTAGCCCTGGCCGGTTTGGCTCAGCAGTTGGAGCGTCGACCTGCGGTCTGGAGAGACCCGGGTTCGGTTCCTGCTAAGGGCACGTACCTCAGTTGCAGTTTGTCCCCGGCCCTGGTTGGGTCGTGTGGGTGGCAGCCACTCAATGTGTCCCTTTCATGTCCATGTTTCTTTCTCTCTCTCTCTCTCCCTCCTACTCTATCTGAACAAAATATCGAAAAATGTCCTCGGGTGAGGATAAAAAAAAAAAAATTAGCCTGCTAGCCCTGGCCAGTTTGGCTCAGCGGTTGGAGCGTCGGCCTGTGGACCAGAGAGTCCCAGGTATAGTTCACCGCTAGGGGCACGGACCAAAAAAAAAAAAAAATTAGCCTGCTATATTTGGTCATGCTAATTTGGTGAGGCGTGTAATGTTAGCTGGTATTGATTTTATGGACCTTATAGCCCACTGGCCGGACGTTCCCCACCCCTGCTCTAGAGCCAAAGCCAGAGAGGAGAGGAGAGGCCAATAGCCTTGGAACTAGCCTGTCATCATTCTCTACCTTCAAAGTCACAGCTAGTCTAAGTGGCCATGAGAGGAGAGGTGCTGTCCAGCTGGGATGGGCATCAGATCCTGTACCTGCCAGCCTCACAGTGAGAAGTTATCCAGGCTGTCAGCATAGCCTTTTTGGTTTAAGCATCTATCTGCAGTTGATAACTAGCAGAGTATTCCTCCTGCCTGAGCTGCTGGGCCCAAGTGAGGGAGTGGTGATTTCTGGCCCATGTGTGTTCTGAGAGTGGCTAAAGTCAGGGACCGGCCATGTCCATAGGAGGTGTGGTCAGCCAGGCAGTTGGCAGGGCCATGTTTGGTTATAACCTTTGGTCATTATAAGAAATTCACAGTAAGTAGAAGTTTTTGAGAACCCAGTCTCTATGTGAGTCAGGCATCTTTGGAGGAGTCTGCTGACCCTCCCACAGTGTTAGTCCAGCACCTTTATACAGATGTTGGCTTTGGGGCCTCGGTGTGGAGGTCCAGGTACTCTCACCCTAGGACACTCTTTGCTCCCTGCTTGACACTCCTGGGAGGGACAAGGCCTCCAGACGCTGTGACTTTCCTTTCCAGGTGATTGTGTCCAGGGGGGGCCGTTTTCTGGAAGCCCCAGTCTCAGGGAACCAGCAGCTCTCTAATGATGGAATGTTGGTGATCTTAGCTGCTGGAGACAGGGGTTTATATGAAGACTGCAGCAGCTGCTTCCAGGCAATGGGGAAGACCTCCTTCTTTCTAGGTAACATATCTGCCCACCTGTAGGGCCACATCCCCCTCTAGACTGCACTGATGACAGTGTCAATCCCACACGGCCTCTCAGCCTGGGGCTCCTATTGGAAAGTTTCCTTTGATTTGCACAGTCAGTGCCTGGAAGGAGGAAGAAGGGTCAGAGCCAGTTCTGTCAGGGGCACGTGAATGGGGCCTTCCCTGGGTGTAGAGGTGGGTCTGAGCTGGGGTGAGGGTAGGCAGAAAGTCCCTGCCTGCGGGATTCTTGGGAAGTAACCGTGATTCTTTGCCCTGGGCAGGTGAGGTTGGCAATGCAGCCAAGATGATGCTGATTGTGAACATGGTCCAGGGGAGCTTCATGGCCACCATCGCTGAGGGGCTAACCCTGGCCCAAGTGACAGGCCAGTCCCAGCAGACATTCTTGGACATCCTCAATCAAGGACAATTGGCCAGCATCTTCCTGGATCAGAAGTGCCAAAGTAAGTTGTCTTTGGCCTCTCTTCTTGCATTTTATTTATTTATTTATTTTTTATCCTCACCCAAGGACATTCTTCAATATTTTGTTCAGCTAGAGTGGGAGGGAGAGAGAGAGAGAGAGAAACATCAACGTGAAAGGGAAACATCAAGTGGTTGCCACCCACATGACCCAACCAGGACCGGGGACAAACTGCAACTGACGTATATGCCCTTAATGGGAACCGAACCTGGGTCTCTCTGGACTGCAGGCCAATGCTCTAACCGCTGAGCCAAACCAGCCAGGGCACATTTTATTTTTCATTAGAGCTGAGGAACTGGGTCAGGCAGCTGTCACAACAGTCTCTTCTTCAATGGCTCATTGGGTATGAAAGATGCATCTTCTCCAGTCAGTCCATGCCCCCAAGTAGGGGTCCAGAGACACAGCAGATGGAATTTGGGGGGTATAGGCTGGGAACTTGTCTCTTGGGTGTCTGAGAGGGGTGGAAATGCTAGGTGTTGAGCCCTGATGGTACTGCAGGTGGTTTCTTGTTTAAGGTCCTTCTAATTCTTCAGATAAGTGGCTTTCTCTCCTCAGATATTCTGCAAGGAAACTTTAAACCTGATTTCTACCTGAAATACATTCAGAAGGATCTTCGCTTAGCCATTGCACTAGGTGATGCCGTCAACCATCCAACTCCTATGGCAGCTGCAGCCAATGAGGTAACTAACTGCAAGACCCAGTGCACAAGTCCCAGCAGCCTTCCCTTTTTCTCCTTGTTCTTCCCTTCTACTTATTTTGGCTTTTCTTTGCTCTCAGGTCTAATCTCTCAGGGTGGACTGTTAGGTCATTGATTTTAGACCTGCCTTTTCTAGCAGGACCATTAAAAATTTGTATACTTCTTTTTGAGCCATGCTTACTTCCCTTGTGATTTCTTCTTTGACCTGTGGATCATTTCAAAGTTTATCAGATATTTAGGGTTTTCCTAGATGGCTAATGGTTATTGATTTCTAGTGTATCTCTTTTGTGGCCAAAGAATACACCCTGTATGATTTTTAACTTGTTTACTCAGACTTGTTTTGTGACCCAGGAGATGGTCTATCTTGCTGGGTATGCCATGTGCACTTAAGAAGACTGTTCTTAAGACTGCAGTTGTTGGATGCTGTGTTCTGCAGATACCAGTTAGGTCAAGATGGTTGGTAGTGTTTTTCAGATAATCTTTACTGACCTTTCTTATGGTTCTTTCAGTCACTGAGGGAAGGCTATTAAAATCTCCCAACTATGATCATAGGATTGTTTGTTTCTTTAATTCACCCCATTTCGCTTAATGCCTTTGAAACTCGTTTATTATGTTTTCCTGATGAATTTTTCTTTTCATTATTATTATGAAATGGTTCTCTTGATCTTTGTCTTGAAATCTATTATCTGATTTTTTTTTGTGGGTTTTTTTTTTTAATCCTCACGAGGATATTTTTTTTTTCCATTTATCTTCAGATAGAGTGGGAGGGATAGAGAGAAAGAGAAATATCGATGTGAGAGAGACACATTGACTGGTTGCCTTCTGCACAACCCCGACCAGGGCCGGGGACCAAACTACAACTGAGGTACATGGCCCGTGACCAGAATCGAACCCAGACTCATTGGTCTGAGGGCCAGGGCTCTAACCACTGAGCAAAACTGGCCAGGTCTGTAGCTTGCATTTTTATCTATTCTGACAATGTCTGCCTATTAATTGGAGTGTTTATTTATTTATTTTTTTTAATCCTCATCCGAGGACATTTTTCCATTTTTTTTTGTACAGACAGAGTGGGAGGGAGAGAGAGGAAGAGAGAGAGAGGGAAACATCGATGTGAAAGGGACACATCGAGTGGCTGCCACCCGCACGACCAACCAGGGCCGGGGACAAACTGCAACCGAGGTACATGCCCTTAGCGGGAACCGAACCCGGGTCTCTCCGGACCGCAGGCGGACGCTCTAACCGCTGAGCCAAACCGGCCAGGGCAATTGGAGTGTTTAATCATTAAGTTTTTCAAATGACATTTACTAAGCATCTATACATGCCCTTATTGAAAAGAGTTTTTTAGAAGTTCAGCTTTTTCATCTGTACCTGATAGAAATGTAATCTTAAGAAAAAACAGCCCAGCCAGTGTGTCTGTCTCAGTGGTTGAGCATCAACCCATGCATCAAGAGGTCGCCGGTTCAATTCCTGGTCAGGGCACATGCTCAAGTTGTGGGCCCAATCCCCAGTGGGGAGCATGCAGGGGGTGGCCAGTCATTGTTCTCTCTCATCAATGTTTCTATCTCTCCCTCTCCCTTCCTCTCTAGAATCAATAAAGAAAAAATATTTTAAAAAGAAAAAACAGCTGAGTCTTGTCCCATACACCAAAAGTGATGGATTCGATTCCTAGTCAGGGTGGGTACAGGAGACAACCAAATGATGTTTCTAAAAATAAAAATAAACACAGCTGAGCAATGTTTGTCTTTACCATAAAGTTACAATAAAAGCATTTTATGAAACACACAGATTCATTTATTTTAGAAGCTGTAGCTTTAAGTGTTACAAGCTGATAGACATTTTCATTCAAGTTTAATACTTAACAGGTGTCGAGTAGCTAAATCCAGAAAAACAAAAACAAAAATCTCACCATACTGCTCTTTTCAAACCTGCTTTTTCATCGTTTATTAATTTCTGTCCCTAAATTCTAAATAATTGAGTACTTATTTCACTCTTTTATTTATTTTTAACTTATCTTGATTGTTGAATGGATTACAGATGTCCCCCTTTTTTCCCCCATTGACCCACTTCTCCCCAACCCTGCCCTCCTCCTGCCTTCCCCACACTATGGTCTGTGTCCATTGGTTATGTATATATGCATAGAAGTTCTTTGATTTATCTATTTCCGCCCTCCCTCCACCCTTCCCTTTGAGGTTCATCATTCTAACAACCAATTTGTCCTCCTTAATTCTTTCATCTTTTTCACCCAGTCCCCTAGCCCCCTCCTATTTGTCAAGCAATGAAAACTTCTCTGTATCTATGAGTCTTTTTCTGTTCTGCTTGCTCATTTTGTTTGTAGATTCAGTTGTTGATAGGTATGTATTTATTGCCATTTTATTTATATTTTTGTTCTCCTTCAAGAAGACCTTTTAGCATTTCATATTACTGGTTTGGTGGTGGTGAACTCTTGTGAACTCTTTTAGCTTTTCCTTGTCTGGGAAACTATATGTCCACGTATTCTAAATGATAGCTTTGCAGGATAGAGTAATCTTGATTGTAGGTTGTTGTTTTTCATCACTTTGAATGTCTCTTGCCACTCCTTTCTGGCCTGCAAAGTTTCTTTTGAGAAATTGGCTGAAAGTCTTATGGGAGCTCCTTTGTAGGTAACGAACTGTTTTTCTCTTGCTGCTTTTAAGATTCTCTCTTTGTCTTTAACCTTTGGCATTTTGATGATGATGTGTACAGTATTGGTGTACACCTCTTTGGGTTCACTTTGTTTGGAAAACTCTGTGCTTCCTGGACTTGTATGTCTGTTTCCTTCACGAAGTTAGGGAAGTTTTATGTCATTATTTTTTTAAATAGGTTTTCAATTTCTTTCTCTCTCTTTCTGGCACCTCCATGATGCAAATGTTGGTATGTTTGAAGTTGTCCCAGAGGTTCCTTACACTGTCCTCATTTTTTTGGATTCTTTTCCCTTTTTGCTGTTTTGATTGGTTGTTTTTTGCTTCCTTATATTCCAATTCAATGGTTTGGTTCTTGGCTTCACCTACTCTACTATTGCTTCACTGTAAATTATTCTTTATTTTAGTTAGTGCATCCTTCACTTCCGACTGGTCCTTTTTTATGTTGTTGATGTTCTCACATGGTTCCTTGGAGGTCTCCTTAAGTTCCTTGAAGGACTCACTAAGTTCTTCGAGCATTCTTATAACCAGTGTTTTGAACTCTGCATCTGATGTATTGCTTACCTCCATTTTGTTTAGTTCTTCTCCTGGAATTTTATTCTATTCTTTCACTTGGGACACGTTTTTTTGTCTCCTCATTTTGGCTGTTCCCCTGTGTTTGTTTCTATGTATTAGGTAGAGTTGCTATGTCTCCTAGGCTTCCTAGGGTGGCCTATTGTAGTAGGTGTCCTGTAGGATCCAGTGACACAGCCTCCCTGATCATCTCAGCTGGGCCCTTGAGATGCACCCTTAGTGTGGACTGTATACATTTCTGTTGTAATTGATTCTTGATTGCTGTTGGCACATCAGTGGGAGGGATTTTACTCAGGCTGGTCAGCTGCAAGACCTGACTGTGCCCACTGACCACTGGCCTCTGCCTCCCTTGGAGGATCAGCTGTGTTAAGGCCCACCACACAGAGCAAGGTTTACTTCAGCAGGGCTCTGGTACCCACTGAGTCCACTCAATGAGTGTGTCACTTGTGGAGGTGGTTGGTTGGTGGCACTTCACTGTGGTCTGAATCTGTCCACTGGGTGTGCTGGCACTGTGGCAAGGTCAGCCTCTGCCTGTGTTCTACCCATGGCCACCCGGCACAAGCTACAAAGTGATCTGCAGGTGGCTGCTGCTTGTGCTGGACTTGGAAGTACCTAGGAAAAGCCAAGGTGTGAACCAAGACTAGCTGCTGTTGGTGCCAGGCCTGGGGCCACTTAACCAGAGGTATGGGGCTTGCTGAGACCAGGTGCTGCTTGTTTGAGAGATTTTAGGAAAATCTGAAGCAGGATTTAAGACAGGCCAATCCTATGGTAAAGCCATTGGGAACAGCTTAGGGTGGGCCCGAAGGTTGGGTGGAGCAGGGAATCAGTGGGGGGTGGACCACAGTGTGAGCCAGGTTGCTGGAGTCCCAGATATGGCTATGTCTGCTGCCCCAGGAAAGGGTTCACCAAAGGAGCAATGGCCTCCCACAGCAAGTCTGTCCAGGTGAAAGCTGCCCCTCCAGCTCTTGCCCCAATGCCAAACAACTCAGTTCTTCCCTATATGTTCCTGGAGCCTTTCAAGCTGCCTTTCCAATGCTGGAGCCCAGGAGTGAGTTTGAGTAAGTCCTTGTGCAGGCCCTTTAAGAGGAACTGCCTGGGACTCCAGCAGCCTCAGCCTCAATTCCCATTGGGTTTACAGCCAGAGGTGATGGGGACTTCTCTTCCTGGTACTGGAATCCTGAGCTAGGAGCCTGGTGAGGGACGGGGACCCCTCACTCTTCAGGGAGGACTTTCTCAGCCTTTCTGGGAGGATTTTTATCCTCCACACATGGGTTTAGGACCAGCCCGTCTGTGCCTCTGCCCCTCCCCACCTCTGCCCCTCCTACCAAGCTCAGTGTGGCTGCTGCTTTTATTTCATAGTTGTAGGACTTCCATTCAGTTCGATGTCAGGTGGTTCTGAATGATGGTTCTGTAGTGTAATTTTGATGTGGCTGTGGGAGGCGAGTACCACGTTTACCTACGCCACCATCTTGACTGGAAGTCCTCTTATTTCACTCTTTTAGATTGCAGTACAATTTCACGTTTCTCATGTTTGTTTCACCTGTGGGTTCTCTCTTGGCAGTAGATTCCTCATGTACTTTATCACTTATTTGTTGATGAGTTTATCTTTAACTGTAGTTACTTTTGAAGGGTTCTGTGTGTGGTTTGTGTTGGAAATACTTCTCTATGAGGTGATTTCCAGCTTGCCACCACTCTCTCTCATTCGCTTGGAAATAGACATTTTGGTTAATTTCTCAGTGGAGCATGGCACTTTCTGGCCATTTGTTTGGGTAGTGTGACTTTAGGCTCTCTACTGATTGGATCATAAAGTTAACTAGTCTGTTAACATTTAGTCTGTCTTTAAGTCTGTTGTGTGGTTAGATTCAGAGCTGTTAGTTTATTATTTGATTGCTGTTTCTCCCTTCTGGCTTATGTTTGTCTGTTTCTCCTTTCTTACCTTCTGTTGTGTTGTTTGAATATTTTTTTAGAATTTCATTTTAGATACTTATTGGCCTTTTTTTTCCTTTCTTTTTTTAGAGAGAGAGAGGAAGGGAGAGGGAGGAAGAGATAAAAATACCAATAAGGGAGAGCATTGATTGGCTGCCTCCTGCACATCCCCTACTAGGGATTTGGCCCACAACCTGGGCATCTGCTCTGATCAGGAATTGAACTGGCAGCCTCTTGGTGTATGGGTCAATGTTCAACCACTGAGCCTCACCAGCCAGGCTCTATTGGCTTTTTAATAATGCATTATTTGCCTTGGCCAGTTTGGCTCAGCAGTTAGTGCGTCAACCTGCGGCCCAAGAGACCCGGGTTTGGGTCATGCAGGTGGCAGCCACTCGATGTGTTCCCTTCACATCGATGTTTCTCTCTCTCTCTTTTCCTCGCTCTCCCACTATGTCTGAACAAAAAACGGAAAAATATCCTCAGGTGAGGATAAAAAATAATAATGATGCATTATTTTTTTTCTGTTTTTGCTCTAGGGATTGCAATATGCATTTAAATTTATGGCCTACTTTGAGTTAATAATTACTGAAAACATAGATCCATTTACCTCTCTGAACCTCACCCTTATTATTTTTTTTAATCCTCACCTGAGGAAATTTTTCCATTTTTTGTTCAGACAGGGCAGGAGGCAGAGAGAGAGAAGCATCCAGTGGCTGCCACCCACACGACCCAACCAGGGCCAGGGACAAACTGCAACCGAGGTACATGCCCTTAGCGGAAACCAAACCCGGAACTCTCTGGACCGCAGGCCGACACTCTAACCGCTGAGCCCAACTGGCCAGGGCCTTCACCCTTATTAAGGCAGGTTTCTCAACCTGGGCACCATTGACATTTTGTGTGGGAACTGTCCTGTGCATTGCAGGATGTTAACAGAATTTCTGTCCTGTACCCACTAGATATTAACAACACCTCCACAGAAATTATATCTAGACATTATCCCTTGGGGGGGCAAAACTCCCCAGGTTGAGAACCCCTGCTTTAAGTTACAGCTGTCCTATGTGTTATATCTGCCTTTGTTTTAAACCCACCAGACAATGTTGAAATGTTTTGCTTTAAGTAGTCATATGTATTTTAAATTAAGAGGAGAAATAATTTTATAATTTTCCTAATTTATGATTTGCAGTGCTGTGCATTCCTTCCTGAAGAATTGAATTTCTCTCTGGTGTTATTTCCTTTCAGCTGGGGGAACTTGCTTTAGCATTTCCTGTAATACAGGTCTGCTGGTGACAAGTGTTTTTTTTTTTTAATCTGAAAAGGTCTTTATTTAGCCTTTATTCTGAGTTGACAACTTCACCTGAGCTATAATGGACACTTAATTATGGTGGCTCGAACTGGACTATATTTTTGTTTTGTTTTTTTGTTTTTAATGCAACCAGCCATGTGAGGGAGGTACCTTGTGTCCAACTGCATTTCTTCAGCATGACTGGATGCCATACCACCCTTGTTGAACGAGGGCTTTTTAATTCTTTTCATACTTCTTTATATTCACCTAGTATCTCCAGGGCAGCTGGTAATTACCAAGCACCATACTAGGCTCTGGCAACAGGTTGGTGCACATTCTAATGGAACAAGGCACAAAATAAGCACCTAAGTATTTAAACAAATAATAATTTCAGATGGTCAGAAATATGAATAAAATGTAATAGAGGAATGAGATAGAAGTGACCAGGGTAAAAGGGTACAGTTGCTGCTATAGATGGGGTGGTAGGAAAGAAGGCCTTTGGAAAGGAGCCAGCCATGCTGAGGGAAGGACGTCCTCTGCAGGGGAAAGGGCAAGGGCAGGAGCCCGGAGAATAACATGGGAAGTCCTTGGAGGGTCTTCAGCAGGAAGGGACATTGTTATAATTACTAACAACACTGAGCCCTGCCTCTGTGCTGGCACTCTGAACATTATACATCCTTCACTCCATTTAATCTCCCCATAACCCTATTACCTTGTCCATGATATCAAAAAACAATGGCTGGGGCATTTTATCCAAAGTCAGGCCAGTCAGCGAAGGAGCCAGAGGTCACACCCAGACAGCCTGAACTCCAGAACCTACCTACCTAACCACACCTAAACCACCTCCAGGAAGCAGATCCATGTCTTTAACAGCTGTGTGGTGAGAGACTGAGCCCATCTCATTTTTTTCCAGGTATACAAAAGAGCCAAGGCACTGGACCAGTCTGACAACGACATGTCTGCCGTGTACCGGGCCTACATACACTAAGCTCCCACTCCCCCTATTTTCCCTCTGACCCCCTCATCCTCACATGGGGTTGGGGTCCTGGGACTTGACTCTGGACCAGTCGACCTGTCTCCATCTCCTTTTATACAGACTTTGAGACTTGCCATCAGCACAGCACACAGCATTACTCCTCTCCTGAATGTCCTGGGATGGGGAGGGGTATCAGCAGGATTGGCCTGTAGCAAAGCTCTTGAGCTGGGCACTGGCCCCCAAACCAGGTGGCTGTGTGTTCACACACACACACACACACACACACACACACACATCCACCCACACTGGCTCTTACTCCAGGATAGAAGCTGCCCAGAAACTGCTGCCTGGCTATTTTTCCCCCTTCTTCCAAGCTTGTCTTATCTCAGACCCCTTCCATTTGAGGAACTAGAATCAGCAGTGAGAACTGGAAGCCTCCCCATTGCTTCCCTCAGAGCGAAGATGCTGTGGTCACATCCACATTCCCAGCTGGATTCCTTGCAGAGAGAGGCTCTGGGCCAAGATGAACCAGCACAGACTAAATGGAGGATCCTGTGGGCCCTCCAACCTCAGTTGACCATCTGATGATGATTGTCATGTTTAAGCTACCAACGTGCAGCCAACTCCAGAAATGCCTTTGTGAACTGAAAAGAGATTGGCAAAGTCAAGCGAAGACAGGGCTCTGGCTTTCCAGGGAGAGCGTCAGTCAGCCTGTAGGTTGAGCCTCACAGAAAAGGCTGCCCTCCTCACTGTTCTTCAGCACCCGAAGTCGCCATCACTACAGAGCCCTGGGCTGGGATCAGACTTCCTTGCTTTGGTGTAGGGGGAACCTCACTCCTCAGTAAGCTGTTTTAGTATTTAGATTTGCATTCCAGCCCTTGGGAAGGGAGTCCTGAGGGCCACCAGAGGGAGAGGGATGGGCTTCTTCCTGTTTCCATTATGCCACAGACTTCACATGGTCTTGAAGAGCCACTCTGACCCAGGCGCCCTCATAGTGGTCCCACCTTCTCCAGCCTGCCCCTGCACAAGCCCTCTGCATGCCCACTTTTCTCCATTCTCTTCCCTTTCCTCTTTTCCTCCCATGGAGACAGTATTTCTTCCTGTCTGTCCCTTTGACTCAGACCCAGCCTGACCAACCGACGATGACCATTTCTTAGGCTCAGCTCTTGAAACAGAATGAGTGTCTTCACTTCAGCCAGCAGCTTGGTCTTCGGTGCTTCCAGGGCCCTGAGGTCTGTCAGGAGGGAAAAGGAGAACTGGGCCTGACTGAACCTGAAATAATGGCCCCTCAGAGGTGGATCCAAGACATCCTTGAATACCTAGTATTTCTCCTTGGACAGGGGACCAGAGGGGGTTGGAATGTGGCTAAGAAAAAGGAGAAGTCACCTGAAGGATGTCAGTGTTGTCTCCCTCTGCATGGGTTGGATTTTCCAAAGTCACACTTTGCAGAAGGTCAACATTTATAGTGAATATGTAATTATATATAAGAAAGGTGGCCACACTGATGTGGGTCTCTCCCCCTCACAACCTTGGCCCTTTTCCACTGATCAGAACCCAGGTTTGTGGATATCAGAAGACATGGGGGTGTGGGAGACAGGGATGATGCCTGTGGGATTTTGGCACAGTTTATTTCACTGGGATTTTGAATTCTTTTCTGTCTGAACACAAAGCCTGTTCTAGTCCTAGCTGGACACTGGGGAAGGGGTTGGGGGGAGTGGGGAAAGATGCTGTAATGAAACTGGTTAGTCAATGTTGTCTTAATATTGTTCACAATTCTGTAAAGTTCCTTTTTATGAATATTTCTGTTTAAGCTATTTCACCTTTGTTTTGAAATCCTTCCCTTTTAAGGAGAAAATGTGACACTTGTGAAAAGCTTGTAAGAAAGCCCCTCCTCCTCCTCCACCCATTTTGTTCCCCTTTAAATGACAAATCTGGTAATTAAGGTTGTGAATTTTTATTTTTGCTTTGTTTTTAATGAACATGTCTTTCAGAATAGGATTGTGTGATAATGTCTAAATGGCAAAAACAAAACATGACTTTGTGCAATTAACAAAAGGCTACTGCAAGCAGAATAAAACGTTTCTTGGTAACACAACTGTGACTGATTGCCTTGGCGGTGGCCTGTGCCTAAACACCGACCGCCCAGCGACGGACGGAGGAGGGCAGAGGATAAGTCAATGGGGCAGCGACCTGACCAAGTCTGCCCCGGGCTTTTCCTGGACCAACGGAACCAGAAGGCGGATGGCGAGTCCGAGCCGCACCAAGCTACCCCGTCGGCCAATCGCAGGGCACCGTGAGAGCAAGCCATTCTGCCAGCCAATAGAGCGCAAGTAGGTAAGGGCGACCTATCAGAGCCCGGAAGAGGCGGGACGAGGGTCTCAGCATTCCAGCCAAAGAGCAGTCGTGGATGCTGCGCCCGCAGCGGTGCCGGCGGCGCCCCGGGCAAGCCGGCGGGAGCGGGTTCTTACAGCAGGCAGCCTACTTCCATTCCGCAGTGTCGTGAGCGGGGGGCGGAGCAGGCATCCGCTCAGCCAGTCGGCGGAACAGGGAGGTGGTTTGGGGGCGGAATTTGTTCCCATTTAGCCAATCGGCGACAGAGGTGGGCCCGGGGCTGAGTACTGACCGAGGCGGTTCGCGGATCGCTGGCCTAAGACCGTAGCTGGACAGCAAGCAGCGGCGATGGCGACCGCAATGGCACCGACGGTGGTGGAGCGGATAGTACTGGTGAGTCGCGGACGGTTGGGCGGGGCAGGGTGGGGGCAGCAGGCCCGGCGGCTGATAGCGGCCTGTCCTGCCAGGAGGAGGAATTCCGCTGGCTGCTGCACGACGAGGTGCACGCTGTGCTGAGGCAACTGCAGGACATCCTAAAGGTAACGACTTGCGGGGCGGCCATGGGCCTTTGCACGCGCCCACCCTCCCCAACCTCTCCTGGCGCGGCTCCTCCCCCGGCCGGTCCTGCCTGACACCCGGGTGCTTGCTGTATACGCGTTGTGGGGTGTTCAAACGGGGCTTTGTCCTCAATGGGCTTGGAGTCACATCGGGGGCGCCTACAGATAATTACCCGATTCCACAAGTGGCTGTGTGAGCTCTGTGGGCCTGGATTGAGCCAAAGAAGACGGGGCAGGTCTTCTTTGAAGCAGTGACATTTAATCTGAGATCAAGAAAAAGGAGAGGTAACAGCCCCTGCCTCAAGGGTTGTCGTGACGATAAGCCAGTCAACTCACAAATGTCCAGGCATTGCCTGGCCTGGCCAGAACTGTGGGTTGTCATGACTACTGTGGTTCCTTGGCCCTGTTCCGAGCACCCGAGCACCTTAACCAAGCTGAGAGAGTATTCCTGTTCTGTAGCCCCACGTTGAGCCCAGGCGCCCAGGCGCCCAGGGAGTGTGGAAGGAGCAGGTATTGACTGGGGTAGGACCTAAAACTCTAGCCGCGGGGGAGGAGCGAGAGCAACGGGAAGGTACCCTGGAGGCTTGGGTAGGGTATTCCTGTGAGGCCAGCCCACCTTTCCTCTCCTAGCCAACCTGGGAGTGGGACTTCTGGAAGAAGCACTGGGCTGAATTGGGTGAATTTTGCCCCACTTCCCTCTGTCCCCCAGGAGGCCTCTCTCCGCTTCACTCTGCCAGGCTCAGGCATGGAGGGACCTGCCAAGCAAGAGAACTTCATTCTGGGCAGCTGTGGGTGAGCCCTGGCTTGGCCAGAACCCCTGGGACGGGCCCCTTAGGGAGGGGTGTGACACGTACGTTGGTACATTCTGTGACAGACAGCCAGAAGCAGCCCACTGGGAGGGTTGGGTGGGAGGAGGGATCTGCTGCAGGTTCTGTTCTGACCTACATGTGTTGTAGCACAGACCAGGTGAAGGGCGTGCTGACTCTGCAAGGGGACGCGCTGAGCCAGGCGGTGAGTCCCTGGCCTCTCTCTCCTTTCCAAATGCTGGAGAAGCCAGTGGGGAAGAGTGTGGGGGGCCTTCTGCTTATCTCTGCTCTGCCACTGGCTGACTGTGTGACTGGGCAGGATCCTTGACCATTCTGGACCTCAGTTTCCTCATTTGTAAATGACAACAACCCCCAACCTTCTCGTGAGATTAGTGTGTGGTTTCAGTGAGAAGTACAGGAAGGGGATTTTTTGCACATGGCCCAGCCCAGAGTCTGGGCCCCATGAAGCATAGGCATTGGCAAGATTAGGCTAGCCCCAGATCGAAGTGGAATCAGCTAACATCTGAGCTCCATCTGCACCCGGCCCTGTGCCAAGTGTGCCAAGGTGTGGGAGAAGGTCCCTCTCCTTCACAGTGGGTGTTTAGTCCATTGGCCTCTGCAAATTTCTTTGTCTGCCCACAGTCGCACACCTCCCAGCTGAGGCCACCTTCCCCTTTCTCAGCTTTTCCCTTTCATTACTTTGTGGTTCCTCTTGGGCCTGAGTTCCCGTTTCCTGATCTCCCTGTTCAACCCCCCAATGGCCAAGATGTTGGGAGTCCTTCCCTGCCACAAGTGGCTGGGGGCTAAACCACCACTATTTCTGCCCCTGGCTCAAAGGCTCAGAGTGGCCAAAAGCAGAAGAGCATCCCTTTGCCCAGCTAATCCCACTCTCACCTATCAGGATGTGAACCTGAAGATGCCCCGGAACAACCAACTGCTGCATTTTGCCTTCCGGGAGGACAAGCAGTGGAAGCTGCAGCAGGTAACCAGGCCCTTCCCCAACCAGAACTCAGGCCACAAGGACAGGCAGGGGCAGGCCTGCACAGTGGTGCTAAGGCCTCCAGGGCTGGACACTGGGGATTTGCAGCCACAGCAAGCCTGGTAGGATGCTGCCTAGCAGCAAAGTTGGGGTGGGTGGGGCCTAGGGCTCCAGAGCTTAGTCTTGTGGGAGGTGGAGAACCTGTCTTTAAGTCCCCAGGCCTCAGCCAGAGCCTCAGGGATCCCCCTGAACAAGTCATTCCCTGCCCAAAGCCTCCAGGAGCTTCCCATGGATCTTTCTTTTTTTCTCTGTTACCAGTGTTTTCTATTTCTCCCCGTCCTAGGACTACACCACACTATTGTCTGTGTCCATGGACCATGCATATATGCATATCTATTTTTTTGCCCCATGGCTCTTGAAAACAAAGTCCCTGCTTCCTGTCAACTTCTATGTGACTGGGCCCTAGCCTCTACTCCCCCCACAACTGGCCACCAGCAGTTTCCACCTTCAGTCCTTTGCTCTTGCTTGTCCTTCTACCAGCTTTTCTCATTACAAGAGTGATAAGTCTCAGCTCGAGAGAATCACCTCCCTGGGGCCTCCTCTGACCCCCAGCTAAAGAGGCTCCCCCACCCCCCTCCGTCACCCTGTTTATTTCCTTGTGCAAGTCAAGCAGTCTGTTTCTTGTGCCTTTACTCTGTTACCATCTGTCCTCCTTTAGAAAGTGAGCTACAGGAGGCCAGGGGCCAAGCCTGCCTCAGTCTGTGCCATATGCCAACACCCAGCCAGGACAGGAAGCCAACAGCTGTAGGGGAGGAGTTAGGCAAGCAATACCCACCCACCCCTTCAAGGATGACTGTCCCTTGGAGTGGAGGCCCATGGGCTGGGGCCCCAAGACTGTGGCTGCTCTGACTCTGGCATCTCTCCCAGCTGGGGCTCAGACCACTCCATGGGTACTGTTTTCAGATCCAGGATGCCAGGAACCATGTGAGCCAAGCCATTTACCTCCTCAACAACCGGGATGAGAGCTACCAGTTCAGGACAGGAGCAGAGGTCCTTAAGGTGAGTTTCCTGCAGGGACAGGGGAGCCAGATTTTCCACACTCGGCCCTGACCTCTGGTTCCCTGGAGAACTCTGCCCCCATGTCCTCAGGTAAAGCTGATAGTTAACCCTTCACCTCTCAGTGTACACATGTCTCAGCCACAGTCAAATGGTTCACAACCCAAGCTCCAGAATCAGACCTGGGTTCTGATCCTAGGGCCTCCACTATAAGCTGTGCAACCTCGAGTCATTTACTTAGTCACTATGTGCTTCAATATCCTCCCCTGTAAAAGGGGGACAAGATATAGTGACTACCAATTGTTATAATGCAGGTAAAGTGGCCCCTAATAAGCGCTCAGTAAATAGTAGTTGTTAGGCCCGGCCAGTGTACCTCAGTGGATTGAGCATCATCCCATGGACTGAGAGGTCCTAGTTAGATTCCTGGTCAGGGCACATGCCTAGGTTGCAGGATTGATCCCCAGTAGGGGACATGCAGGAGGCAGCCGATCAATGTTTCTCTCTCTTTCCCTTCTCCTCTCTCTAAAAAAAATCCATAAAAACATGTTTTAAAAAATAGTAGCTGCTAGTAGTAGTACTAGCAATAGAAAAAAACCCATGTAATTAATCAAATTAATTCACAAAGCATGGAGGGAAGAGCTGAGTCTGGATGCCCCGGACTTACTTTGTGTCCTCAGGTGGTTCACCTACCCTCTCTGGACCTCTGATTCTTCATATGAAACTTGGGACTAGATAGACTACGGTCCCTCCCAGAACTGTGACCACCCTCGGGGAGCTAAGCTGCAGCCTCCAAGCTTACTCTAAATAGTTTTGTTTTTCCTGGGAACCAGGTCATGCTAGTACCCACAGCAGCACCTGAAAACAGTGGAAGCTGGGGCTCTGAGGAGTCCAAGCCAGCGCTTTGCTCCATAGTAAAGGAAAGGGATGAGTTCTAGATGGTTCCACTGTTCGCTAGCTATGTGACCTTACCCCTTCAGAGCCTCAGTTTCTTCACCTGTGAAAATGGGGTTGGTGCCTGACTTAAGACATCAACTCAGCTGTCCCCTCACTTCCTCCAGGAAACCCTCCCTTGCCCCTTGCCACTTGCCCCCTCATCCACCAAGCCCTCATGCCCTGGGACTAACTCCTGGCATCTCATTCCCCATTGGACCAATCCCCAGGATCCCATGCAACAGAACTTCCTGGATGGGTCGTACGCAGTACAGACACCCTACCCTCCTCCCCCAGCTGGAGCCCAATTACCTGCATTTTTAACAACACTCCCACTTTGGGGGAGTTCAGTTCCTGAGACCAGGACCACCAGGGCAGGAGCTGGAGCCACCATAACTTTGTCACTCCTTGATGAGTGGGGGACGTGATCAGGACCAGGCCGCGCTGCCCTTGCAGCAGCTATGACCAGCCCCCTCTCCTCCCAGCTGATGGACGCCGTGATGCTGCAACTGACCAGAGCTCGCAACCGGCTCACCACCCCAGCCACCCTCACTCTGCCTGAGATTGCTGCCAGTGGCCTCACGGTCAGTGCCTCGGGCCAGGAGAGCAGGGCCTCTGGAAAGGGACACTGAGGTGCCAAGGGGTCCTAGAAGCCCCAAATTGTCATCAGTAAGAGTTCTGTGTCTATGCACAGTTTGCTGGGATAGGGTCCTCAGCTTCCTTCCTGTGCCCCCCCAACCCCAAACATCACCCCTGGTCTGAGTCAGTGGTTCCCAAGCCTGGCAAAGCAGGAAGTTACCCAGGGCACCTAGGAAGAGTCTGGATGCCCCAGTCCATAGGATGAGGGCTGAGTCCTCCAGGTAGTTCTTGGAAGGCCTCTGCCTGCCCTGTCCTTATCCCACTTGCCTGCCTTCCCCCTCAGCGGATGTTTGCCCCTGCCCTGCCCTCCGACCTGCTGGTCAACGTCTACATCAACCTCAACAAACTCTGTCTCACCGTGTACCAGCTGCACGCCCTGCAGCCCAATTCCACGAAGGTGAGCAGGACCCCACCAACTCCTAACCCCACCTCTGCCCCGCACCAGCCCATGCCCTGCAGCCCTGAGGGCCTGACCTGGGTCTGGTGTGCTCTTCCACCTAGAACTTCCGCCCTGCTGGAGGCTCTGTGCTGCACAGCCCTGGGGCCATGTTGTAAGTACACTGTTGGGAGGGGTGCCCTGGAGTGCCCTCTGCACCTCAGGGGCTGGGGGCTCAGGGACCCAACCCTCTGCCTGCAGTGAGTGGGGCTCTCAGCGTCTGGAGGTGAGCCATGTGCACAAAGTGGAGTCCGTGATCCCATGGCTCAATGATGCCCTCGTCTTCTTCACCGTCTCCCTGCAGCTCTGCCAGCAGCTCAAAGATAAGGTGAGAGCTTGGGAGTGGTGGGGTCTGGGCTGGGCCACAGTCTCAGGCAAAAGAGGCCAGCCAAGCATCAGGCTGCTTAGCCCCTTCGTTTGGGGGGATTCCAAGGGCTGTTGTCTCAGGTCCAAAGCACCCCCATATGCACTCTCCACACAACAGGCTCATGGGCCATGGTGCTGCTGGGCAGCAGTACCCTCTGCCTGACACAGTACCCTGAGATAAGCTTGAAATCTCACCTGAGTCACAGGGTGTATCAGCGGCCAAGGCCTCCAGCACCACCACTTACCATGTCCCCCCACCTTCCTCCCTCCCCAGATCTCGGTGTTCTCCAGCTACTGGAGCTACAGGCCTTTCTAAGCAGAGCCCAAGAGCCTGTCCCCCTGAGAAGTGGCGCCTACCTACAGTGTCCCTGTCCCCACCACACACATCCCCTGGAGTGCCGGCCAGAGCCAGTGCTACAGGCGAATTACTTTCCTCCTTGCCTGTTCTGCCCATCACATTTGCACAGATGGGAGTGAACACAAACCTCTGGAATGAAGGGAAGCTGACTTGATTTTTGTCTTGGGTGGGGGTGGGTCAGGAAGGTGGGGTCAAGAGGTGGCCCACATTCCAAGCCCTGCCCTTTGGACTCAAGGTGGAGCGCAGCCCAGGGCTCTCCTTCCTCCCTGCTTAGCTGTCTGCTTGCTGAGCTGCCCCAGGTGAGAGACAGCGCATTCCTCCTCCCTCCTCCCGCTGGAAGGTGAGGAGTAGGTGGTGACCCTAAGCTGTGAATTGGGAGAGGAGGAGGATGAAAGAGCAGACAGAAGCCACCCACCAGGGCCTCCAAGAAATAAAGATCATCCAACTTTGCCTGGACCTGTCTGTCTGTCTCTGTTTGAGTGGTGTCCAAGCTGGAGGTCCCTGATTTTCAGGGGCTAGGTGGAGTACCCAGTTGCTGAGTGGAATGGTGGACAAGGGTTCTGCCTGGGGGTTTGAGCCCAGCTTTCCCTCCCATGGGTTGCTAGATGGCCTCTAGCGAGTTACTTAAGGTCTCCTGATGACAGCCATGCCGGTTGAAGTATATGAGGGACCAGGTGAGTGCATAGATGGAGTGGTGAGTACCTGCATTGCCCACCCCTTGATGGGAGGTTGGAACACACTTCAGACTCAGGCTCTGGGCAAACAGGCGTTGTTACTGTCGCCCAACAGGACATGTGAGCAGAGGGGTGGGGGACTCGCCTCATTAAGGTTCCAGAGCCAAGTTATTCACTCCCATGGAGTTTTCCTGTAAGAGAGGCAGAGAGTGGGGCCAGTGGGCTTCAGTCCTCATTGCCCTGCTTGCACCCATCTAGAGGAGGCCCAGCAGCCTCTCCTCCACCCCAGTGCAATTCCTGGCCTGCCTGGGCCAGCGGGGCTCACCTGCTTGGCAGTCCCTTGGGGTCCAGAGGAGCGGTGGCGTTGGCAGCGGGAACAGCAGCAGCAGTGGAGACAAGCAAGCAGCAGCAGGAGCGACACAGTGCCTGGGGGCGGGACAGGTGTCCAGACATGGCCCTCCACCTAGGGGTGGTATGGGAGGCTGCTGGGCCAGAGCCAGAGACCATACTCACCCACGAAGATGAGGAAGATAATGAAGGCAGCGGTGTCCCACTTGGACTGGAATAATTGATGGCTCTTCCATTTCCCCAGCACTTCCTCTGCTGTTCTAACCACCTCCTCCAGGTTGTCCATCTCAGCTAGAGGGTTCTGAGTGCCACCTGTCCCAGTCCCCCAGAGGGAGCCCCTTAGAGCCCTGGGCTCCTCGGGCCAGACCACATATAGGCCTCCCACAGTCCAACCCCTGCCCCTTTCACACTCCCTCTGGGCCCCAGTTCTGCCCCAGCCTCTCTTCCACTCCTTACTCAGCCCTTCTCTCGGTCCAGAACCTGACCTGGCCAGCCTCTTCTCCACTACCCATAGCAGCCCCACACCCAGACCTGCCTCCAAGTTCCCCCAGCCAGACAGGTCCTAACTTCTGGGAGCATAGACTACTTCCTGCTTCCGGATCTATTCCACCTGAGGTCTTGGCAACCAGTCCCACTCTCCCCAGGGCCAGCCTGGGGCTCTTAGAACTCCAGAGGGCGGGGCCTGTGTCCCAGCAGGTGTGCTTCCTGCTTCCCAATAGCAGCCGGTACTGCTGGACCCCAGAGAAGGCCACAGGCTTGTCAGTCTCCTCATTCCGGGGCCTTTTCACTTTTCCCTCAGTGGACTGCACAAGCAGGGGCTGGGACAGTGGGCACTCAGCTGCTGTTGACTTCATGAATGAAGGAAAGACAAAAAGAAGGGAGGGAGAGAGGAAGGAAGGAAGATTAAAAGGAGAAAGGATATAGGAAGGGGAGGGAGGGAGAAGCTGTATTCATTCCACCACCCTCCCTTGGGCAGCTGGGATATGCTTGACACCAACCATATTAGAAGTCTTGGATCCTTAGATACTTATTTTCTCTGTTTTAATCCTCACAATAACCCTGTGGTTATCTCTCAAAAGAGCTCTTTCCCCAGAACTTGGGCTCCTGACCCTGTCCAGTGAGGCAGCCTTCATTCCTGCATTCTTGTTTGTTTGTTAATCCTCACCTGAGGATCTTTTTTCATTGCCTTTTAGAGAAAGTGGAAAGGAGGGAGAGAGAGAGAGAAACATCTATGTGAGAGAGACACATTGATTGGTTGCCTCCTACATGACCCCAACCAGGGCCAGGAACTGAACTTGCAACCCAAGTACATGCCCTTGACCAGGAATTGAACCTGCGACCCTTCTGTCCACAGACCAACGCTCTAACCACTGAGCAAACCCGGCTGGGGCTCACTCCTACATTCTTGCAGAGCACAGACGTGCCCAGGCACACTAGGGGCCAGCCACTGCTCAGCACTTGAGTTTGGCTGTAAACCAAGTAGACACAATTTTTTGTTCTTGTGGTGCTTATGATCTAGCTGGAAAGAACATATCAGCTAATGTTAGGCTATATATACATTACCTAATTTATTCCTCATGGCAATCCTACAGTGGGTGTTATTGCTATTCCCACTTTACAGATGTGAAAACTGAGGCCTTGAGAAGCTCAGCAACCAGCTCAAGTCACATCAAAGGGATTAATTTCCTGTTGTAGCTGTAACAGTCTACCACAAGTACAGTATCTTAAAACAGTACAAATATATGACCTCACAACTCTGGAGGTTGGAGTCTAAATGGGTTGTCAGGGCTGTGTTCCTTCTGGAGGCTCCAAGGGAAAACCCATTCCTTGCCTTTTCCAGCTTCTATAGGCCACATTCTTTGCTTCATGCCCCATCCTCATCACTTTAATTTCTGCTTTCATCCTCACATCTTCCCTGACTTTACCTTCCTGCCTTTCTCTTATAAAGAACCTATGATTACATTGGCCTCCAGGATAATCTCCCCAGAAAAATTCTTAATCACATTGACAAGGAACCCTTTTGCTACTTAAGGTGACATATTCACAGGTTCCAGGGATTAGGATGGAAATATCTTTAGGAGCCATGATTCTAAGCCAACCATGCCCAGTGAGCAAAGAAGCTAGAATTGGGACCCTGGCATTCAGATCCCAGAACCCTTGACCATCATGGGGTTTCCCTTGCTGAAATCCCCATCTTACACCCTACCTTCATTCCCTCTGTCCCATTCTGAGATCTCAGATTTCTTTTGCAGAAGGAGGGAGAGTAGTTTTGAAGTGACTGGAATGTTCTCTTGCAAAAACGGGGAGGGGATAGGATGCAGCCACTGTGGAAAACAGTCTGCAGTTCCTCAAAAAATTACATATAGTGTTATCATATGACCTGACAATTCCACTCCTAGGTATACACCCAATAGAATTGGAAACAAGTAGTCAAAGGACTGTACACAACTGTTCACAGCAGCACTAACCACAGTAGTCAAAAAGTGGAAACCCAGTGTCCATCAACTGATGAATGGATAAAACATGGTCTATCCATACATTGAAATATTATTCATAAAAAGGAATGAAGGACTTCCGGTCAAGATGGCGGCGTAGGTAAACGCAGCATCGCATCCTCCCACGACCACATCAAAGTTACAACTAAACTACAGAACAACCATCATTCAAAACCACCTGAAATCAAGCTGAGTGGAAATCCTACAACTACGGAATTAAAGCAGCAGCCACATCGAGACTGGTAGGAGGGGCGGAGGCAGGTGGGCTAGTCCCACACCCACCTGTGGCGGATAAAAATCAGGAGGATATCTCGGCTGGGAAGGTCTTTCCTGAGGACTGAGGGGTCCCCGTCCCACACCAGGCGCCCCGCTCAGGGTTCCAGTGCCAGGAAGAGAATCCCCATAACTTCTGGCTGGAAAAACCAGCGGGAACTGAGGCTCAGAGAAGCTGAAGCGGCTGGAGCCCCAGGAAGCTCCTTAAAGGGCCCGCGCACGGACTTATCGGACTCACTCCCTCTAAGCTTGGAGGGGAGGCAGGTCGAGGGGCGCCAGGGACATACAGGGAAGAACTGAGCTGGTGCGAGGGCTGGAGAGGGGGCTTTCTCCGAGATAAACGTGCTGTCAGAGGCCTTTGTACCTTTGGTGAGCCCTTCCCTGGGGCGGCAGACAGCCGCCATATCTGGGACTCCAGCAACCTGGCTCACACTGGTAGCCCTGCCCTGGTGACTCCCTGAGGCCCCGCCCCACCCAACTTTCAAGCCCATCCAAGCTGTTTCCAGTTGCTTAACCATAGGATTGGCCTGTCTGGGATCCTGCTTCAAGTTTTCCTAAATTCTTTCAAACAAGCAGCATCTGGTCTCCATAGCTCCATACCTCCCATTAAGTAATACATAGAAACAAACAGAGGGAGGCAGCCAAAATGAGGAGACAAAGAAACAGGTCCCAAATGAAAGAACAGAAAAAATCTCCAGGAAAAGAACTAAGCAAAATGGAGATAAGCAACCTAACAGATGCTGAGTTCAAAATACTGCTTATAAAGATGCTCAATGAACTCAGTGAGAACCTCAGCGAACTTAGTGAGGGCCTCAAGAGCATAAAAAAGGACCAGTCAGAAATGAAGGAGGCACTAACTGAAATAAAGAATACTTTACACAGATTCAGTAGTAGAGTACGTAAAGCCAAGAAGCAAACCATCAATTTGGAATATAAGGAAGCAAAAAACACCCAATCAGAACAGCAAAAAGAAAAAAGAATCCAAAAAAATGATGATAGTGTAAGGAGCCTCTGGGACAACTTCAAGCATGCCAACATTCACATCTCGGGGGTGCCAGAAGGAGAAGAGAGAGGACAAGAAATCGAAAACCTGTTTGAAACAATAATGGCAGAAAACTTCCCTAACTTGGTGAAGGAAACAGACATACAAGTCCAGGAAGCACAGAGAGTCCCAAACAAGATGAACCCCAAGAGGCCCACACCAAGACACATTATCATCAAAATGCAAAAGGTTCAAGACAAAGAGAGAATCTTAAAAGCAGCAAGAGAAAAGCAGTTAGTTACCTACAAGGGAGTTCCCATAAGGCTGTCAGCCAATTTCTCAAAAGAAACTTTGCAGGCCAGAAGGGAGTGGCAAGAAATATTCAGAGTGATGAAAAGCAAGAACCTACAACTAGATTACTGTATCCTGCAAAGCTGTCATTTAGAATCAATGGCCATATAAAGAGTTTCCCAGACAAGAAAAAGTTAAAGGAGTTCATCACCACCAAACCGTTATTATATGAAATGATGAAGAAAAAGATAAAATATATGAACAAACAAAATGGCAATGAATATATATGTATCGACAATGGAATCTACAAACAAAATGAACAGGCAGAACAGAAACATTCTCATAGATACAGAGAACATTTTGTTGGTTGCCAGATGGGAGGGGGGTTGGGGGAATAGGTGAAAAAGGTGAAGGGATTAAGAAGTACAAATTCATTGCTAGACTGACAAACCTCAAAGGGAAAGGGTTTGGGAGGTGGGAAGAAATAAACCAAAGAACTTATATGCATAACCAATGGACACAGACAATAGTATGGGAAAAGGTGGGAGGGGGGTGGAAGTGGGGAGGAGGGGGTCAATGGGGGAAAAATGAGGAACATCTGTAATACATTCAACAATAAAGATTTAAAAAGAAGAAGAAGAAGAACAAATGGGTTGCTAGACTGACAAACCTAAAAGGGAAGGGGGGTGGGAAGAAATAAACCAAAGAACTTATATGCATAACCAATGGACACAGACAACAGTGTGCGAAAAGGCAGGAGGGGGGCAGGAGTGGGGAGGAGGTGGTCAATGGGGGGAAAACGAGGAACATCTGTAATACACTCAACAATAAAGATTTAAAAAAAAATTTTTTTTAAAAAAGGAATGAAGCTCCCTGGCCAGTTTGGCTCAGCGGTTAGAGCATCAGCCTGCGGACCAGAGAGTCTGGGTTTCGGTTCCCGCTAAGGGCACGTACCTTGATTGCAGTTTGTCCCCAGCCCCAGTTGGAGTCGTGTGGGTGGCAAACAGTCTATGTATCTCTTGCACATCCATGTTTCTCTCTCTTCCCCCCCTCTCCCTCCTGCGCTTTCTGAAGATAAAAGCAAAAATGTCCTCAGGTAAGGATAAAAAAAAAAAGGAATGAAGCACTGCCCTGGCCGGTTTGGCTCAGCAATTAGAGTGACAGCCCGCAGACCAGAGTCACGGGTTCAATTCCGGTCAAGGGCAGGTACCTCGGTTGTGATTTGATCCCCAGCCCTGGTTGGGG